GTGGTTAAACGGGTTCGCTCCAAATCTATAATTTGCCCAATTTTTTTATAATATAAATCCTTTCCTCGTGTATTCTTTCGATTAGAAAAATGGTAATTGGCTCGAACACGCTGTTTAAATGCGTGCGAGTTAAATACACTTTATACGATGGTACTCGAAAAATACATGTCCTTTTTAAAAAAAATCAATAGCAGTTTGGAATACATTTTTTGTTAAATCAAAATTTGTAATGAGGTCACATTAAAAAAAATCACTTAAAATTGTATTTATGTATATTATTTTTTAAAGTACTATTCGCGAATCACCATAAGATGTAATGCATGGTGGGAGGATGGTGTGGTGTGATTAATAAATGGTGATGGCAATTTACCACTACTTATTTTCTTAAACGGGTCACCAGGTTATATTTATGTTTTGAGCTGGTAAATATTCAGCAATTGCAACGTCTTAAGCAAGAATTATGAACACAGCCATAGCGAGGGTAACTCAGCGATTGATATTGCATGCAACCAGCACGTGGTGTAGCCATTTTATTTTTGACTCATGCGTAGTTGGCTTTCACGACCAGGATTTATGACTCATAATTTGGTTACTTTTGGCGTTAGATCGTGTCGGTGTAACGTCATGGCCACCCTACTTTTAAGGGGCCACAGCTTAGCAAGTGCGTTCACGCGTGAGATCTGAGTTCTTGATAACACCTAATGATGCTGGGTGTAGTGTGGAGTGAAACACATAAAATGTTCAACAATTTGCTTTATTTTTCAACGTAACCCGGATTCCAGAAAAAAAAAACTTAATCAATGGGCACAATTGTTTGGCTTCGGGTGCTTGAGGGTAATCGCAAAATGTTATTATTCTTTGTTACTTACGTGCAATCACTGTTAAATGTTCTAATTATTGGTCTTAAGCCACTCATTGCTGGATGAAGGCCTCCACCAAGTTCGTCACCATGTGTCAACTCCTCAACTATTACTGTACAGAATTCCCTGGTTATTCACGAACTTTCCCTCCGCGATTTTGTCTGTCCGCGAATCGCATCTGGAACTCTACACGACTGCACAGAGAGAGAAAGTGACGAGAGGGAATGTGAGAAAGTGATGAGAGACATTATTATGATAATTTTCATGTATTTAATAGCATTGTATTTATTTAAGGTAATTCTTCACGGGCATCTCCGAAACGCATCCCTCGCGGATAACGAGGCAACGCTACCACAGTCCATGGAGCTCCTGGCACGCAAGCTCAATCTCAAATTCCCCATCACCCCCATGGTGGCTGTCCTCTGGAACGTATTCCATCCTTGGCTGTTACTCCTGCAGTCCTCTTGTCAATCTGCCATTGTCCCTTCTGACAGCACGTCCTTTGAAGGCAACTTTTATTTACAGCGAATAGTCCAGTAACGTCTCGATTATTCTAGTTATGTTTTCAGAGCCACGCGTCCCTTTTTTGCCTCTCGGTGTAATTCCAAGCTATGCACTGTACCTCCCCCATGCTTCTCTGCACACTTTCTTAGCTTCAACTTCATTTGTATTACTGTACTTGTTTTATGGATCAGAAACATTGGCATTGACAAAGCGTATTAAAAAAAAGGTGAATGGTGCACTATACAATGCTAGAATATTGCGGGCATGTAAACCTGGCAGATGGTGTGAGTTGAGAGGTGTTCTTTCACCTATTTAAAAAAATAACTTTTCTTGCAATTTGCTGATGACGTGTCTCGATGAAATTCTGATAAAAGATCATTTTAAAGGACAGTTATTTTTATGGCTTTATTTTTTTACAACAGGACTTTGTATTTGGTCAAGGAAGGAATCTTGAGGGAAGATGTACAAGGCAGAGTGACATAATTGGGCCACAATAAATTTCAATTGAAAGCTTTCGTGATTGCAGGGAATCATATTCTTGGTTCTTTCGGTAAAGTCACGTAGAAGGGAAATAATAAAATAATAGAAATAAAACAATATAATAATTATAAACATAAAAAACTAAATATTATGTTTTATTATTTTATTATTTCCCTTCTACGTGACTACCGAAAGAACCAAGAATATGGGCCACAATACTTTGACAGTTTCAAAGTCCTCCATGGCATAGTGTAACATTAAACAAAGCTTTACTGATGCAGTGTTTAATGTTATACACGATAGTAGGGTTCAGTGGCCTCAATATTTTGATCTCAGACGCCTGTAATCGTGAGAAAAAAATATAGATTACATGAACGATTTACTCGCTGAGTAAAAGATTATTTTACTCTCGGAGTGAAAGAGTTTCAAAGGAGACCGGTCGTATTTTCTTTGTATCTCTTTAAAAATGGTCACATTTCTTGGAACCTTTTTACAGGCGCTAACCAGCAGTCAAGGAGGGTATAGTGTCGAACCACATCCATGATTATATGAGGTTTTATATGAATGTGATACTGTAACCCATCATAATCAGCTTTGATCAATCCACTGCTAGGTCAAGACCACCCCAAACCTTTGCCGTCTCACGATTTAGTGATTAAACACCTGGCACATGCCGTTGAGCTTATTGCATTGCTCCATCTCCATGGTAGTTAATATACTCTGATGAATGCCCCCTACTTTGGCTGCCACTGGGCATTAGTTTTGACCACTAGTCATTGTCCATCCTAGCTCTGTGTTCTGCACAAGCTTACTTTTCCTAATTATGTATGTTGAACTTATTTCGCACCAACCGTGCTAATATGTCTCTAACTTAAAATGTCTCGATCTTAAAATATGTTATCTAATGCATGTGTTCCTCTTTACGTCTTCCCTTAACCTAGGGTATGAAAACCCATGCTCTTTCCATCTATTTGATGTACTAAACCACAGTTTTTAATGTACTGCCCTCAAATTTGTTAATGACAAATACTTTTAAGAACTGTCATGTTAGTTAATCTGTATTTAGCCACAGTGTAGTCTCTCACAAAATTTTATTATGCCCGAAGGTAAAAATGGTAAAAACTTTAAACATTTTTGTCTCTGGCTGTTGTATTCACATCTTAGAATTATCTTGAGGGTTATCAACAAAGTCGAGGAATCTCTTTTTAAGACAGACTATCCACCCTCTTGATTAACAGGCAGTGTACTGACCGTCCACTATATTATTCACATATCCTCAAATTTCACTTTGAGTTCAGTTTGAATGTCACTATTGCTTTATTATTTTTGAAAAATATTAAACGCGCATTCTTCACCCCCCACAGCCAACATGTAAATCGATATTCAGAAGTGACCAGTTGTGCCCACTTTACAGGTGAAGCCTTTTTCAAGCGTTTCTGAGTGGATTTGCCACGTTAATTATTGGTCTGGCTCGTGAGTGGACAAGCGGCCAATTGCTCAGTGTGTGTACTGTTGTTGGGTGTTTTTTTTATAAATGAAAAGTTTAAAAACCTAAGTTTAAAAACTGAAACATACTTGTTTTCATGTTTTACCACAAGTATGTGTGGTTCATGCAGACTTGATGGTTTGTCATAGGCATCAATTTGGTCTTTGAACATCTGTATTATTACGAGACAGGGTATAAAGCCTTTTTTTCTGTTGTATCATCTTAAAACTGGGAAAAAGGATCCAGGAGGTAAAACTGAAACAATTTGTGAATTGCAAACAATACAGTGACATTCTTGGTTCTTTCGGTAAAGTCACGTAGAAGGGAAACAATAAAATAATAAAAATATAAAACAATAAAATTCTCACGACGTTTCGACTGCAGCACAAAACCACACCTGATGATGATTGCTTGTGTTGCAGTCGAAACGTGAGAATTTTATTGTTTTATATTTTTATTATTTTATTGTTTCCCTTCTACGTGGTGACTTTACCGAAAGAACCAAGAATATGAATCCCTGCAGTCACAAAAGCATTAAAACAAAATACAGTGACATGTTTTATAGCCTACAAAATAAACTCATTAATGTACATGTTAGTGAGTCAAGCCTACAAGTACATTCATTGTTGGATGTTATCGGCCCCAGGAGACGCACCCCAAGATAGATAACACAGTAGTCCTTGTCTGAGCCATCCAGCCAGCACGGCTGTACGTACAACACTGTCCAACAGCAGCACGTTTTTTTTGTGATGTTTCGGAAACTTGTACGAAGCTCGGCGGAATTCAAACACGTTTAATGTTGATTGCTAATAAATGTTATTTAAAGCTTACCATTTGAACACGCTGTAATTTAGACAACATTGCTAACTTGGCATACGAAAAGTGTATGATATAATCAATAATTTTATCATTCAGAGCAGAACAACACCCTCTTGGCCAATGGAGTGCTTGCTCGGTATTCATTGATTCTCTCGCAGTGGAAATTCTAGTACAGTATTATATATTTCAAAAGATGTCAACATTTTTGATGGGCTCTGTCAGGTGGCGATGGGTATAGATATAAATTGTCATTATACTTCCACGACTTAACCCAAAAGTAACCAATTATAATTACGTCACGGTAGTTAAAATATTCGCTGTAATCACCGCAACTTCCATTTGAGCATTTTCTTGAAAATTTTCGCCAATGGATAAATGACAGGAGAAATACTCGTTTTGCCTTGTGTGATTTTTACCAGACGTATAATAAGCCACCCCCTGTGAATCAATGAATTGCCCTGAATCCGGGTCACACTTCTATTGAAGAATCAATACTTTATTTAATATTGTGGTGAATGCAGGGATCATGTGTTTTTGTTTTATACAACATGTACACATTAAAAACCAATGGTTCTTAGATCCACGCGATTCGATGCGTGTATGGTGAACTTCACCATCGTATTCCATCTGCCAGGATCAATCCACTGCTGAATAAGATTCTCATGGTCGTGCGATGTGATAATCCACTTGGAACCTGGACGCGAGCTGATTTCATCACTCCGGCTGTCATTGTGGACATCACCTCGGACACGTTCTTAACCATCGGCCACGCGTTTTGGGGTTAGATATTAATGGATGAATCGACGTATTGATTGGAACACCCTTAATATGTACCTGACACCTGTGCACAGGTACACCATGCCAGGCTGTGGAGGTGTGCGGGTCTCCTTGGCCGAGGTTCTGGAGGTGCAGAATGGGCCTTTGAATGAAGAAGAAATTTGGGCCATTTTAACCCAAAGCGCAGAAGCCTTACAACATCTGCTCGCCACAGGTGCGTGTGTACTCTGTGCATATTAGTTCACCTCAAAACCACAGGCATTCAGTTAAACTTGATAACCGGTTTGCGTTGAGCAATCTGCACGGTGCTTCATGAGTCACGTGATTTGATGTGCACGTGTTTGGATAATCATAAGTGTTGTTTACATGATGCATCATTTTTAGACGTGGTCTGTCTACTGCTTTATGAAGGCCTATGCAAGCCATTGCCATTTATCATGGACCCGTGATGCAACAATCCACTGAATTCGTCCCCTTCATCTACCTCAGTAGATGTCCTCTCAGATTTGTCCATTCCTTGTCTGCCGCTCCATTGTTTTTTCAGGACCATCGGCCATAATCCCTTCCGAGTGACATATGACTTGCACCTTCTTAATTCGTCAATGTGCTTTTCAAGTCATACCTACTATAATCACCCAGGAATGTCTGTCCTTAATGCTCGTGACGTCACTCCACATCGACCAGCCCCCCTCATTAATATTCATGAGCAGGTGACATCTTCCACATGGACCCCCCCCCCCTCATTAATAATCATGAGCAGGTGACATCACTCCACATCGAACAGCCCCCCTCAATAATCATAAGGTGACGTCCTCCAAATGGACACCCCCCCCTTCCATTAATAATAATTAGCAGCTGACGTCACTCCACATGGGGGGCCGAGGCGCCTCCTCCCCCCTCCTCGGCGTCAACTCACAACCCTCACGACAAAGGCAGAACCCTCACGTCATCACGTGATCTCCGTAACGCTGTTGTTGAGACATAGAAGTAAAAATGACGTCATGATCAACAAGAGATTATAACCCTAAAATGAAATAGGTCTGTGTCACCGCACCCTTACAAATTGCACGCACACGTATTAATGCAACGAATATCACGTCGCGGGCTGCTTTTCGCTTGCAAGTTTCAGATTTACTGCAGTACACCCGTCCTTGGACGGGCAAAAGGCGAGTTAAGAATATTTTGTAACATTTTTGTTTCAAATGCACAATATAATAAACAGAGGAAAATATTACTGGCCTGGTTTGAAAGGGTTTAAATCGCTTGTGCATTTTTTTCATTTCTTTAACGGTTTTCAGCATTGGTAATTTGTAGGCTTTACTCGTTCTTTTTGTCGGTATAATACTCTGGGCTTGGCGGGGCTTTGGATTCCTTAGAGCTGCAAATAAATGTATGGATTTGCCACTTTGTGTGCTGGCCGACACTCAGCCAGTGCGTTTCACACGCGACAAATCCACAGCTTTCCCCCTGGCACCGATAACAAACCTCAGATTGTGCACCATTCAATAGCCACTTGTCTAAAGTGGCTACACCAAAGTGTGGAAAATAAAAGCCCCGACCCGTAACTAATTGGACATATACGATTTGCTTTGGCAGTAAAACATACTTAAAACACACAATATACCTCTATTGGCTTTTACTAAACAATTAAACTTTGAAGGAGACCTTAAAATGCCTGCCCAGTACGGCAGGTGAATCGGTTAACACGTTCTTACATCCTTCCAATTCTCTCCTTTCAGGATTATAAAGGGGTACACCAGAGTTATTTAATGAGCAGGTCTAGTGTGGTAGGGGAAGATGTAGGTATTCCCACGTCTTCTGACCAGCGTGGATAAGTAGACAATTACCCTCCAGTGGGGGCCTTTCCACTCGCAGTAGCTACGTACGGTGCGAAAAGAATTCAACATACATACAAGCACTTGCAGGGCTGCACCTCTGCCCCTTTTAAATGGCTTCATAGCAGCTCGCGTGCCTCTCGACTTACCGGCGGTTCCTGCAGACGGCGAGTTGGTGTCGCCCCACGCCGCTCTGGTGTCACCGTGGGCCCTGCTGCTGCTGCCTCATGGCGCCATCGCCTTGGCCGTCGATGGCCGGGAGGCGCGGGGTCATGACCTGTCGGCCTTCACGCCTCCTGAGTGCGCGCGCTGGCGCGGCACGCCAGTCACTCCGGCCGCTGCCGAGAAGGTGAACACGTCGTGACTGCTCCTCCACAGCCCTGTAGTATCGGGGGGTCGGGGTGGGGGGGGGGGCAGAGGGGGCCGGAGGGGGCTGAGTCCCCCTGCTGAAGCATGTATAAGATGAACTCTGTGTATCTACATATTAAAAAAAAATCATAATTAGTTATTTTACCTATTGGCTTTCCAGACCAATATTAACCCGCCTCATTTGTTTAAGCAAGTGAACTCCAGGGCCAGTTTTGGCCTTTTGGGTCTCACCAACACTGAAGCTTGCCCCGTTCCCCCCTTCTAAATTCTTGAAGTTTGTTTAAAATTGAATGTAACACGCTCCCCCTGCATTTTTGTATGCCCTCCCCCCCCCACCCTTTAAACAAGGTCATGCTACAGAGTTTCTCCTCCGCCATCCATCGCTAGCCCAATCAGTGGCGGAGCTGAAATATTGTAGCTATCTCTGAGTGAAGTTGGTAATGTGTGGCCACATGCTTTGCGTTTATGGCTTCACGGCAGTGCTTTACACATTTAGGTCCTCGGGACATATCAAGGGCCACCGATCCATTTACCAGGCTTCATCGTTAAATGCAAGCTTGTTACATGCTGCACGCTCCTGATGATTGGGCAACATGTCCCATGTGAACTGTTGTGTTGAGTACAATGAATGATCCATCAATTCTGCAAAGACAAAGAGATCTCCCGCTCAGTCTACACAGCCTGTGCAGGATGGCACGGCGCACGAGACAGCGGTGTGTGGTGGAAACTATGGTATTCGCACACACACACCCACTCATTTATTGAAGGCTGAGTCAATTTAGCGGCGGTCTAGTTCTCATTCAGATATTCCTGATTAACTTTGTTAGCCACGACATGAAATCGAACTTAGATCACCGAGGTCATAGTGACGTGCGCTAACCGCTGTGCTACTTCTCCTCACCGCGTCATACGAATTAACAAGAGATCGCTATCTTCATTTGAACCGGCACACTCAATGTCACGTGGGCTATGCATAATAATCACAAGTCACGTGCGGCATGTATTGACTTCATTTGTATGTGAACAGAGAACACTGGTAAATGCGACTGTGGTTGGTGGTTAGGATCGAAGTTCAGGAATGCTTCTTCGAGGCATTACTTAGCAACTGTTATTTAAATAAATTAACTTAGTATTACCAAGGGTTAATTTTCATAGTTCATAGTTCATTTGTTTGGTATAGTCCTGTGAGCCATTCGGCTCTTGAATCGGGTGCAACCGCAACAAACAAAAAAACATGAACAAGAAAACATCTTAAAGTGATTATGTGACTGTGCAAACAGAAAATACATGAAAAAAATATCAAAATATTCCTGAAATAGCACCGTACACCAACGCTGTGTGCAAAAATCCCAGTGGGATGCAAGTCAAATAACAACAACAACAACCACAAGACAACTAAGATTAAGGCCATCAGTCTAACTCCATACTACAATAAACAAAAACATGGCCAAAACAAAAAAAACGTTTTCGAAATCACCAAAATAAAAGCCATGAATGCAATGCAACAGTGATCATAGGGACTGTGACCGAATTTTTAACAATAAACTACATAAATAAATGATAACACCAAAATCTAGAGCCATATTTTAGGCCACTGAATAGCAGTGGCAGCTAGGGTTGTACAACTCCTCTAGAGCAGTTTTGAGTGAAGATCTCATAGGTAGTGATTCAAGTTGCAGTTTATTGGCAATAGCATTCCAGACCCTGGGGGCATCAATAGCAAAGGCCCTTCCTCCAGTTTTTGTACAGCAATAGGGAATGTGAAGCTGGTAAATGAGCGAAGACCTGAGGTCAAATTTGTTCTTTGAAACAGAGAGGAGATCCAGTAGGTAGTCTGCGGAATTTTTTGTAAGTACATCGTGAATAAATAAGATCTGGTGCACAAGCCGTCGAACATTAAGAGATGTTAAGTTTGACCCAATGTAGAGATCACAGTGGGCAGTTCAATGCAAATCTTAAGGCCGAGTGATAGATGGAATCAAGCTTCTTCAGTACAGTACTTGGGGCTGATTTATACACGATGTCACAGTAGTCAAGTAGAGGCAGTATGGTAGCTTTTATCAATTCCAAACGGAACATTGGGGGGAAGCAGTGCTTGTGTCGATACAGAAAACCAATTTTTATTTTTGTCTTTTTACCAATATAATCAATGTGATCTTCAAAATTAAGTTTTGAATGCAGGATGACCCCAAGATACTTATAGATCTTGACTTGCTCTATTTTATAATTATTCAAGGAATGTAATTGGGGAAAAATAACTTCCTGCTTTAGTCTCGGAGAGAAGCATAGCACCTTGGTTTTGGAGGTATTCAGGACTAGTTTAAGATAAACTAGCTGATGTTGTAGTTTGTTGAAATCACCCTGGAGCTTAGCAATCACGTCATCCGGAGAGCGGCCAGCAGTAATCAGTATCGTGTCATCTGCAAAAAGATTTACCCTGGAATGATCCAGTTCAGTGCCCAAGTCATTGACATAAAGAGAGAACAAGAGGGGGCCGAGGATGGAACCCTGTGGAACCCCTTTTGTTATCTTAACACTGTTTGACCTTCAACCATCTGTGAATACAGTTTGGGTGCGAGAAAAGAGGTAATTTTTTAACCATTGTACTGTGTTCTCGGAAAAACCGAGGCAACTTAGTTTACTAAGCAGGGTGTTGTGGTCTACTGTATCAAAAGCTTTGGACAGGTCAAGAAAAAGACAGGCACAGTACTGCTTATTATCAAGGCTATTGTAAATTTGATTCAAAGAGTCTAATGCAGCAGATGTGGTGCTGTATTTTTTCCGGAACCCAGATTGTTTTAGATGTAGTAGATTGTTGGTGGACAGGAAACTGCTAATTTGGTAGTTCAATAATTTTTCAAAAAATTTCATCAATGGGGACAAAATTGAGATAGGTCGGTAGTTATTGGGATCATCTTTAGGGCCCCCTTTGTGCAGTGGACGGACATAGGAATGTTTCCATTATAGAGGAACTTATGTTTCTTTGATGGACAGGTTGAAAATATGGGCTATGGGTTCGTATATTAGGTGACCAACAGTTAGTAGAGCAAAGACGGGAAAATTATCTGCTCCGGTAGAGGAGGACCCTTTGAGGTAGGACAGTTGTTTCAGAACATTACTTTCGTGGATTGGTTGGAAACTAAATTCGTTTAAGGTGTGTTGCCGAGGTGAAGCATCTTGCCATGCGTTCGTACTCTGACGGTTAGCAATGTTGCTGATGCAGTAAATGGGCAGTGCTCGTTGTGCTTGAGGCATCAAGATTTTTTTTGGAGTGGCCATTCATCCGTTGAAACATTCGAGTATTGATGTTAACCTACCGATCTCGACCACACCTGTGAACGTTCACAAATCCTGGAGCAGATTAATCACCCACATTTATCAAGCTGTACAATGTTTCTTAAGCCATTCATCACCTCCATTGTGATACATTTAAAAGACTATCGTTAGGATGATAATATCAACAACAACAACAATTGTACGCTTATGTTGAGTGATCATTTGAAGGTTGAAGCGTCAGCATTTCTTACTTTTGAACGCGTCAGCAGCTATTGTATTCGGACAATTGGGCATTTTCCATTCCGTCATGCGGTAGCACTAATGATTCTCCCATGAGGTTTTCGCTTAGTTTTATATTCCCCATTTAAGAATATATGTGAATTAAAATGGATCAACATTCCGTGGGTGCTCCTCAGCTCAAACGGATAAACTAAGATTTATGCATTGCGAGTGGAAGATGTGGACATGGCGTGAGCCAAATTGTTGGCATTTTTGTTTAAAATGGGTTTATACAAAGTCGCCGCACCTGACATAGAACGATTTTTTTAAACATTTTCCATGCAGCCTAGTAATTGCCCATTGAGCTATTCATCATATGTAGTATACGGTAACGGTGCCACAAAGCCAACTTGTGGGGGACTGAGCTATCGGTTGGATATCTTAAAATGTCATATGTGTGAACTTATGTAGCTGACAGTTTGACCATGCACAAGAAGGTTATCAGACAAAAATAAAGTAAAAAAAACTGTTTTGGATGTGGGAAAATTATTGAAATGTACTGTATAAGAAAATGTATGCGATATGAAGAATCCATTACTGCGTGTGAAAATGTTGGATTTGTAAAACGCTATACAGAGTAATGGTTACACCAAGCATAAATACTGAACGTTGTATGGGCAGTTAAATGGTCTGGGCAGATATGTCACGGTGGGTTATCACATCCGAGGATCGTGAGCGATGGCAACAGCCTTGGGAGGCTTTTATCCAGCAGTGGATTGATCCTCACAGATGATGATGAAGTTCACCATACATGCATCATATCATCTGGGTATGTTGAACTTTAACTTCTTTCGCAACGTACGTAGCCAGCCGTATTAATCGAAGGTGAAATCATTGCTTTATCAATGATAATTGCTTTTTCATTTGTATATGTGCGATGTTGTGCAATACTGGTTTTCTTCAACATTCTGCTGCGAGAAAGCCACTGTCACAAAGACCTCTGCACGTACTCATGGGGGCCTTTGGCGTTCGTTGCACCGCAGATTGCCTGTCTTCTCAGTGCCCCACGTCATTACTCAGTAGAGATGTGATTTGAACTGTCAAACCTGAGCGGTTGATCTTGTTGGTGCGTGGTGCGTTGACCATTGTGATATTCAGTTTCTCCCTTCGGGAATGTGAGCGTATGGGGTGCCACGGTGGCACGGTGGCGAGATGTTAATCACCTCGCTAGGTACACGGGAGGTCGTGGGTTTGATCCCGAGCCTGACGCCTATATATTTAGAAGCACGCGTCGAGAGTATTTGGCTGCGATAAATGCCCATGTGATAAGAAACTTGGTTGAGACATCATTCGTGACCAGGTCGCTTCTGAAAAAGCTACATGCTCAGTGGGCCTTACCTGGTAGAATAAAAAATAGTTTAGTTTTTAGTTTAGTATGTTTATAGCTTCGAATGTGTGACTGGTTGTTTGCAGGTTCTTGTGTACTCCCTCGGAATGACTCTGTACTGGGCGGCTGATTACCAAGTGCCTGACAAACAGGTAAAGCATCACTTGGCAGTCGCGCTCAAAATTCAGAGTGGCTCAGTAGTACGGTAGTTGCAATGTTCGCAATCCGAGACATTGTAGAACATTTTTGCCTGGAAATTACCATCTCGATTGAAGCAATGGGCAGGTGTCATGAGCACCTTCTCGGAGAAAGGCCTTGCTGTTAGCTGTGGCGTGTGAGCAAATCATTGCAGGGCTGCATTTTTACCTTTTAACTGTGCACTGTAATTTCTTAGAAGTGTAAAAAAAAAAACTATGCACGAGTGTGACATTGTGCGGAATGTGTTACGGTATTATAGATTTGCACTCTGCATACAATGCTTATTATAGGACTCAAATATATATATCGGCTGGGCTTTATTCAAATATATTATTGAACTTTTTACGAAGGATACAATACAATACATAGAGGTATATATGTTTTGTGAAACGGCGGCGCTGCGGTTAGCGCACTGTTCTATCAGCCCAGCCATCCAAGTTTGATCTGTGGCCATGGCTAACATCAGTGACGAGTTATATCTGAACCAGTCCCAGGCACCCCTCTTACAGCCCACGCTGACGAGTGTCGTGACGATCATGTATCACCCATGACTGACACAGCATTTATCCAGCGGTGGGTTGATGAAGGGCTGTACAAAAACAGTTTGTAGCCTATTCCAATATGTTAATGAAGTGGTTCTTCATTTTTTCTGCAGCCTTGCACCCCTTGGATTCTCAATCGTAATTTTTTTACAATGTTAATAAATGCATAGGTTTGATGAAACAAAGTAGTTGTACTTACGTGCCTGTGCTTGATTTGTGTTTTGACAATCTACCGACTAAAACAATCTGGCCATGTCTCGCACCCGCAGGGGGTGCGTGCACCCCAGGTTAAGAACCACTGTGTTAATGTTAATTGAAACATAAGACATACAAATTCATCTCGCAGGATGCTTATGCTGAAGTCGGGCACGACCACGTTTCTCTGTGAAGCTATATTGCCATCTGCGTTTGATGTCGGCAGGGCTGAGAGCTGCCCTTTTGTTCTCTGCAGCCCATAAATCTGGACGAGCACATCAACGGGCTTCTGCTGAGCATGTGTGAGGACTCGGTTCATCTCCGCACGCCCGTGTCTGCCATCCTGAGCGCCTGCATTGAGCACAGCAAGCTGAGTGGCGCCAAGCCAGCGAGCACATCTGTCAGAAATCTGGCGAGGATGGTGCTGGGCAGCATCACACAGGTCTCTTTCTTCACTCTGTGCAGGGACGTCGGTGATTAACGGGGGTGGGGGGAATAAAAGAAAAGCACTTGGCAGTGTGAAATGCTCGTGGTGTTATATTTTGAACTGTACTGCTCCATCACCTGTGAACAAATCGCCCGGAATGAGCCCCCCCATATTGTCGGATGTGAGAAGCTAAGCAGGTTTAGAGCCTGCATAGCGCGTGGATGGGAGACCGCTATGCGGCACCGCGTTGCCATTGGCGTCTGCCGGGCTGCAGTGCTTTGTGGAGAGCAGAGCAACATTCATTTTTGTACTGTACTTCTATGCACCCAAGTCCAAAGCAGAGTGCCACGGTGGCGAGATGTTAACTACCTCGACTGGTATACAGGAGGTCGTGGGTTTGATGCCGACCCGAACGCTTCTATATTTAGATACGTGTGTGTAGATAATTTGGCTGCTGTAAATTTCCACGTGATAAGCCACTTTGTTGAGCTATCATTTGCGAAAAAGAGCTAGATTGCTCAGTGTGTCTTACCTGGGAAAACAAAAAAAATTGTTTAGTTTATAATGCCAAACCTGAATTGTGACAAATTGTAAACTCGCTGGAGGGGTGAATGATTGCACGCCTTACGGTCATGTCAAGTTGTCGCTGTATTGCGTCGACTTGATGGTTGGTAAAAATAGAAACCTGCACCGTGGAGGCGTGAGCGTGATGGGGTTTTCGAAGCGCTGTAAAGTACACATTTACGAAATAAATAAGCCCAAAGACACATGATGGGGCATTAAAACTGAAACTATTAATCCTCTTAAAATCGGTACCGATTATTGTACAATTAGCATATTTTTTGTCACAGTACAACATCTTCTTTCGGCAGGCTTTTGTATATTTCTGACGGTTATCGGGAAAACAGAAAAATGAATGCAATTGTATTCGTATTTTGGACACGTTACATACAAGTAAAACGTTCAAAACGACCGTCAAATATTCCCCCGCTATCACTCTTCAGCTGGACAAGACTAATGGCGGCACGGAGGGGGCAGAGGATGTGCACTCGCGAAGACAGCGCATCCGGGAGAAGCTCAGGAGAAGAACGCAACCGGTATCGCTAGGCCTGCCCGAGGGAGCCGTGAGCGTAGACGCAGGCAACGGTGAGGCTATGGCAACCCCCCTTCGGTGTTTTTCTTTCGCTCGTGCGGCAGGCACGAGTCGAATTGTATTCACTGGAGAGGCCCGAATGTCCCATCACAACGAAAATGTTGATAATATTATCAACATTTTGTGAATTGGGAAATTGGTTTCCCTTTTTAGTGCCTTTAATCTGCGTATTTAGTTTTCCTACAAATTTAATGTTATTTTTTTGTATGCTTCCCTTTGTGCTGTGTGGTTTATATAGAGTGTACAGTGTCTTTGTTTTATGAGGTTAATAATGCATCACACTGTTTTAAACAACCGGGCGATATGACTAATTTAAAATGGACTATTAACCAAATGATGCCCTGGTTTTGGTTGGCAGTATTTGTAACGCAAGTTTATAAGTAAAAGTATAAAAACACATGTAGTTGTGTTTTCACTTTTATACAATGTGCTTATATAATAGACATTTTACACGTAGAAAGACGACGTACATATGTGAGTTAAACACATTCACATTTTATACCCTCAAACAAGACTTTTGTTGAATTTTTCCCAAGACTTCCAGTGCATTCCAAAGTAGAGCATCAATGACAATGCAAGGCTCCTTTGTACCACCACGTTTCATTGCGTCGGTTAATTTTGCATTGCATGCAGATGGTGCACCTGTAATTCAGCACCGGAGGCAAGGGGGTTGTTGGATCACACATATGTCCTGAAATGCCCTTCCTTTTGGGCATCGAGGTCGCCATACGCTGGCTCGCCTGGAGATGGCAGCGGAGCAATTGGGTTGATCTCCATTTGTTTCTATCTCTACGGGGATAGTGTTGCCCCCAATTCAGGGCCTCGGAGCTTGGGCAGTTGCTGGTTTTGGTTCTGGCTGCCTCCCCCACTTGTCTGGGGTTCCCCAAAGCTCTGAATATAAGGAAATCTGGGAGTTACAAATTTTCACGTACTGCATTTTCCAAAACATGTTGTCTTCATATGATGTGCAGTGGGATGTAACGATGCATAGCTTAATTGATTAAAATATATTCCTACGCTCACAATACATGCAACAAAGTGTTCATGGTAGAATCAGTGATTATATTTTTTCATGCATTGTATGTAATTCTGTAGCCATTGTATGTAATTCTGTAGACACATAATCGTCCCATTGTCATTAAAAAAAACAAATCTTGAATCGAATTGTAACGTGGAATCATGACAATTCATCGAATCATGAGGTTTGGCTAATTTTTTTCTGGGCCTATTAAGAATGTATAATGTGATTATTTAATGTAATGTTTTGCAGGAAGGGACATGTCCCATGCTGCCATGCTGAGACACAGAACAGACAGGCCTGCCATCAATCACATGAGCAACGGGCTCAGCAAGTCGGTGGGACATCTCGCGTACGCCGCCAATAGGGCCGAGGACGCCTGGCGCTCCGCGGGGCATCTTGACGATGCGAGGACGACGACGCCAACGGCGTCGTCCTCCTCGAGGGCCTACGAGCCTCCGTTCTCAGGGCGGCCACCAGAGTCGACCCGCGGCTACGAAGTGGCCGACCAGCATTCGCGCCACGGCACGCCGTTGCCCTGGTCCGAAAACCGGTACCACACCATCGGGCACGAAGTGCGCTCGCGCAGCCCCCGCGACACCGCCGTCGTCACCCCCGTCGGCTCGGAGGCGTCCATGTCGACGGTGCGCGCGAGCCGCTACGACGAGCCGTACGCCGCGCCGCCCGCGCCGAGGCCCAGGAGCCACACGCTGGGCCGCGTCGCCGGCTACCCCGGCCCGGCCTACGCCGACGACGGAGGCGGCGGCGCGTGGCACTCGGCGAGGGACGGCGGGGGGCGGCCGCGCTCGGAAGTGATGGCGACGCCGGTGTACGCCTCGACGTCGGCGCTGTCCGACGCCTACGAGAGGATCCGCGAGAAGCAGAGGACCCTCCACGTCTTGCGTGAAGCCCTGGGAACTGAAGGTGTTTAAATTATATGCGTATTTTCTGTTCCACAATTACATCCCGATTGGGCTCGTATCAAAGTACCCAGTGGTATAGCAGGGTTTGGCGTGGGGCCCTTGTCCAAGGAATGAAATGACGATCCCCTGTCTGCCTTCCTCCGCTCCGCGTGGGTCCCGGCGCAGTGGCACGGCTTGTATAATCGATAGCTATGCTACGGGAATTATCTGTTCAGATCGCTTGCAGAGCAGCGCAAGATATCGCAAAGCTACTTCTGATATCCCTTCAAGTTGCCCTTTGGTCCACACAGTAGAGGCAGCACTCTTTCACCCACCCTGCTTTGACAGTCAAGTGTTCATTGCATGTAAGTCAAACCGATATATAATTTTTTCTCAGAGCTAGCTGGAATTCATAATTAAGTGCAGAACCAATTTTATGTTGTGTTGTGCTTTTTGTGCATCCATTGGTTTTCGTTAACTCACTCTGCTTCAAAAGCACAGCTTCGATCTCAGGATCTTCGCGATGGGATTCACTTCAAGGAAACTGACAGAAAATCGTGACGAATTTATTGCGAGTAGGGTGGGGGGGGTGAATCGTTCATGCCTAAAAATACGATTTGCTTTAAAAGGTAATTCTGTAACTCAATTTACTTCTTAAACATGTAATTCACTGTATACTATTCAAGTGGTTGTAAGGGTAACAATACCAATTAGTGTCTGTTTACGCAGCCATTCATCCTTGTTTTATCTGAGCTATTCTACGATGCCGATATACAATTGACTAAAATGTTAATACTTTTTACACGTTGGTAATTCTGAACGTTGGAGGCACGCATTGTGTAACCACACGGGCAGTCACCAGGATGTTGTGTGAAACGCATTCCTTGGAGGGCCTCAGCAGCACAGAAAGAAATGCCTCCTTTACCACAGTTGACTGATTAGAGCCTCCGTCTCGGAGCCCCCAGGCTGCGTGTCTGGGCCTGCCGCCCCTATTGACAAACTCGGGTCGTCATTTAAATCAATACCCCTTTACAAATAGCAGGGGCTAGAAAAAAGTACGTGAAATGCAAAGTAAATATTTTATAAGTAATCTTGCAGAAAAGGGCTTGTAAAAGCAGGTTGCTACCTTCAAGGGCAATAATATGTTCAGTATGCATCTCTTAAGCTGTGCTCAATGATAACTGTGAGATTTTTGAAGCCGCGCATCTTGGAAAAAGATGCTGCTGAATGCAACCCGTGTTCAGAGATGGCCTTTATTGCCTCTGCCTTTAGATAAGAGCGCCTTCTGTGCTTGACACACAGGCTTGCAACATCGAATTCATTTGCGCCTCGCAACTTAACGTCGGTGTTGGTGCCTCGTCTCCACGGCGGGGAAAAATGCGCTCGGCTCGGTTGAGAGGGAAGGGCGCTGCTTTCCAGTTAAAAATCATTTAAGTGGAAGCATGGCTTCACCTTTCATTTTCAACGCATCTATCATGCATAATTCATTTACAGCCCCGTGACAGTCGGCCGCTACATAGAGGGCTCCCCCACACCGTGTCGGTCGTGAAGGCCTTTTATCATACTTCACCACTCTGTTTTCGTGCTGGTTGTTCAAGGGTGGAGGGGGGGGTTGGCAGGACCGCTTCATATGGTCAGAAATTGAACTCGGAGGCCCCGGCTTCATGTCGCAGTGCGCTTGACCGTTGTGCCACCGCTCCTCTCCATCAGAATCATTACCTCTCAAATCGGAACTAAAACTTGAAACTCGATGCTGAAGACAGGAGTGCGAAGAGGGCTGATGTTGATTTATAGTCTTGGATTGGTTTCCCTGTGCCTCGTGTAAATCAGAACACTTGTAAATCATTTTTCGTATGGCAACAATGATTAACGCATCCGACACATTTGATTACTTGGTAATATAACGAACCCTTACATTCACCAAATATTTGTATGAATCCCGTGTAGTATGGCATGACATTGTTTACATATATACGTATTTTATAATGACCCTTTAATTTGGCAGGTGTAATGGGACTTTTAAGCCCGCCATTTCCGTGCTGTTAAATACAACTCATGTTTTCAGTAGCAGCTCACCGAATTGGCCTCTCTGTACACACTATTTGAGTGTTTATAGACGCAGCTCACTTGTTATTCACCACTGCTTTGGCAATCTCTCATGCAGCCCTGCCTTCTTTGTGTACTTTTGTGTTCCAAACTGCATTGACCCCAATCCAAGGAATGCCTTTTGTGAGACGGTGAAATAACTCTGCTTGAGACGACACGACACGGAGCCAGCACCTGTCAGAGGACAACTCCGTGATGAATCCTGACGCCCGATGAAGTCTAATTCCCCGCGATGCCCCCCAAACAGTTGAACAGAGACCTTGGCCGGGACGTGGCGCAATTCATATTCAGGGTTAAGTTGCAGCGCAAGTGATTTTTCAAAAGCAAAGGCGGCCTTGGACAAAAGTGCCCCGTTGTACAAAGGCGTCACTGTTGTCTCCCCTGTGCTTTCGCCTCTCGAAGGTCGGGAGCGCCAGCTCGCCGCCAGCTACGTGAGCGATAGCTGCAGCACGTCCGCAGAGGAGGTGCCCAGCAGGGATTTGCCCACGAGACAAGGTGAGCGCCGCTTACACGATTAGAGACTCTCGCTCGTTTTTTGTCCTGCGTCAGCACGACTTAAAAAAAAATACAAAAGGTTCAATCAACGGGGGCAGTCCTGCAATTTGCCAGTTCATGCCACTGCTGGGAACTCCGCTCACGAGAGCTTTAGAGAGAGAGGGAGCCCCCCTCCTAGAGGGTATTTGGCCTACTCTGCCACTCCTGTGCCAATTATCTCTGAAGCGGTGAGAGTACCCACACCTTACCCCACCTCGCATGCAACCTGCCGATGAAAAGACTGTGGTGTGCCCATTCATACTGCTTGGTGGACAGAGGTGGATAGAATTAAGATACGTGCCGATTGTTTCAACTGCCGTGATGTGCTATGTTTCGCACAGCATCATCCTGCTCGGCATTATGCATGCGTGGTCTCTATTTGCACTGCACGTAATAGCATCGTAAACAGACCCATTCATTTGACACTGAAGCTGAGAATTCTCTGGGGTGGGACTTGTGGTGAGTGGTTATCACACTACGTTGCTTATCTCACATCGGTCACCACGCTACACTGTGAACCTGGTTATCTGAGTTTCATTCTCTGCCGCGACAATCAGAGCCAGTCCTGGGCACCAACTTCGCAAACCAGCACTGAACAAGGTGGGGAAGTATGGTCAAACAAGCAATGTGACTGACGAGGTATGGGGAGGCCTTTTTCCAGCAATAGATGGACAAACGACTGCAAATATTTTTGTTAAAATGATTATTACGTGCTGCAAATGATTATTACGTGCTGCAGTTCACATACACCCTGCTGCCACTATAGATTCTACATGCATTACAATGACAAAATCGATTTAGAAGTCATCGCGGTGCTGAATAATAACAAACGGCTGAAAATTATTATTGTACATATCTAAATCTTGACTTGCCGCTTGGCTGGAGTTGAAAGAATGCCTCTCCTTTGACCTGTGTGTCTTTCAAGCAAGATGTTTATTTTTGAATATTTGTTGTGGCAAGATCACTGTTTTTTCCCCCCTTGTGTTTGGAGCGTGATGGAGGTTGTAGCTATTCATTGGCAGGATGCGGAAGAAGTCTATTCAGCGGTTTGTAGTAATTGGATACACCAACTCTGTTGGTGTTCATTATGCATGAAGCGATTGTCGAGCCCCAGTCTGTGAGCATTTCCTTATACTCAGCGTAATTAACTTCATTTTCATTCCAAACTGAAAAACCTTGTCCACTATTTTCTAAAATCAGGCGTTGTTCTAACCCATCCGTGACATTGTCTAAGGTGCTAAATGTAATCACAATTTTTTTTCTTTACTACAATGCATATTGTATGTTTCTTTCTTTGATTTCTAAATGTACTTCATTTGCTTTTTTCATCACCAAAACGTCTTGTACATTACCGAACCTGTTTACGCGCCAAGAACACCAATTGCATTGCAAACAACCGAAGACTCTCTCAACCTCTGTCCCTTGTTTCTGTAGGGGCCAGGAGTGACGTAGCCTCCTCGAATCGTGCGATGTCACCGGTAACGTTTGAGGACGACGGTTTCTCCGGCAGCCGCCAATTCCCGCACATTGACAGGTACCGCCACACAGTACGACAAAAGCAGTGCGCCCAGAGGCGCTGACATTTATACGGCGCTGCGATATTGGGGCGCGCTTCGCAGGGGCGATCCCCTCGTCAATCCACTGCTGGACGAGTGCCTCGCCGTGACGTGCCGCTCGAAGGGGGTTATTTAACCTTCCTCCACGCTGGTCTGGGCGCGTTGGTGAAGGAGGGAGGGGCACGTAGAGATGTGTGAACGTTGAGGCACAACGGTGCAACAATGGATTTTGCTGCACACGCCTTCTGCTGCCCACAACGTAGCCTCGCAGCAGCCCACAGCATCTGTTTCATGCGTGGTGGTGGTGGTCACCCATTCAAGCACGGTCCAGGCTCCGGCCTGCTTGGCTTCTGAGCTCTGATCATATCGGGCACATTGTTCGTGATTTGGTCAAAGGTAAATTGATTTGTTCAATCGTTTGGAAGTTCCAGTCTTTCCAGGGTAATGGAAGATCATGGAACACAGAACAAACTTTTATACCTCACTCGAAGCTCACTTTCACGGCCAGTGGCTGGCACTGGGTGAGTTTCAAGAGCTCGTATTTTCACAGCAGTCCGAGCCTGGGCCTACCGATCCCACGTGCGGCTACGAGTGCAGCGCGGCAGAATCCTTCGTTACACCGTACTTCTGTGCTCCCCTCACCTACGTTGCCTGCATTCGCCAACACACCCATAAAAACGATGAAGTGTGACCAAAACAACCCCCCACGAAATACACGGTGTGAGGAGGGCCCTCGTCCCGCATGAAATGATAAAAGGGGGGTGGTACAATGCGATTATCTATTTAGGCAAACCTAAAGTCGCGGTGGGTTCGATCCAGACCCTGACGTCTGTATATTTGGAGTTTGCGTGTTCTCCCCGTGGTCGCGTGGATTTTTCTCTGGGTCCTGTGGTTTTTCCCTCCACGTTTAGAAACACGCATTTAGAGTATTTGGCTGCTATAAGCCACTTCGTTGAGCCATCATTTGTGGCCAAGGTCGCTTTGGAAAAAAGAGCTATATAGCTCAGCGGGCCTTAACTGGTCGGTAAAAAAAAAAAACGTTAGTATTTATTTCTGCCGGCAATAAAGGCGGCGAAAGGCAGAGCCTGTTCGCACACACAGCTTACGGCTCACTCACACGCTCGAGACGATTTGACCGCGCCATGTTTCCTTCCCTCCCCGCCCCACCAGGCGGTACGATTTTACGCCGCCGGACAAGGTGCCGAGCCGCGAGGTGATGCTGCGGCGGCAGGGAGAGGAGCTGCGCGAGCTGCAGGCTCGCATGAGGCAGAGGCAGGGCTACCCGGCGCCGCTGTCCCCGCTGCGCGAGTCGTACGCGGCGGCGACGCCGCTGTCGCCCATCCACGAGCTCTACAACTCCCCGCAGCGGCAGGACGGCAGCACCGAGGTTGGGACGCGCGCCGGAGTAGCGCGGTCTCTGACTTGGAAGGTTGAAAAGTTACACGGGTTGCGGGTTTGTAACGCGCGCCCGCGTAGCTTTCGACGGTTTTCGGAGGCGCGTGAAACCATAGACGAGCGGAAAGGCTGCCGGGAACCGGTGCCAGCGGCTTCCCAAGCTCTCTGCCCGTAGATTTGGATGTTTGGCCAACTCCATTCGTGAGCGACTATACACGTGATCTGCTCGCGCTTCTGATTGATACGAGTGTGTTTCTCATCTGCTACCAATCCAAGCTTGTGTGAGCTTTGTAAAAGATAACCTGGTGAATGGTAGACAGTACACACACACACACACATAATCTGATGTTACTTGGTCACTTCACAGGTATAGAAACACCGGGCAATTTTTCCATTACTAAAGTAAAATATGCAGTCCGTAATGGCTTGGCTCATGCCAATGTTGGCGGAAAGGGGGTCTGCACTGGAGCCAGCTCCAGAGAGCCCCTCTAGAAAGAATTTGGCCAATTCTGTTACACCGGTGGGAGTACCCACATTTTTTACCCCACTGCATGCGACCTGACGATGAACTAACTGTGATGGACCAATTTGTACTCCTGGGTGGAAGAAGCGGGGTTGGGGATTTAATAAACGTGGACCAGGAGAAGGAATCGGCAGTCTCTGGCTTGCAAGTCCAGTGTGCAAACCACTACACCGGAGCAGCACTATCCTGGTGTGTTACGTATGAATTGTTCTTGTCTCCTTGTGTGTGTGTGTGTGAATATCTCTGCCCCTCCACACAATAAAGGTCACGTTTGGTCCAGAGTTTGTGAGGTTGGCCAGCGAACCACCGATAGCCCTCGAGGTCCCAGTCTCCATATTGGTGCAGGTGAGTTGCCGTGAGAGAGTTGCTAACAATGCTCTACAGATGCTTACGGCCCATCCACCGCCTCCCCCCCCCCCACACTCTCGCCCCCACCACATCCTCGACGAAAATAACAAATATCATCTGCGGGCATTGTAATGTAAAAGTATTGATTCCATGACATGTTGCACTCTCTCTTGTTTTGTTGAAAATGCAACACGTGCCTCAATTACACTACCCAAGGGAGAGGGGAAAAAAAATTACATTATGCCATCGGCAATGCTTCAGGCAGCACCCGTTGTTTAAAACATCACCTATATACTTTCTTCTCCTCTTCAGTGCAGTGTTTTTGACGAATGTGTCGAATTATTCATATTATTCGGGCTTGTATGTATGTTGAACTTCGTTCGCACTGTATGTAGCCAACCGTGCTAATCGGAGGTGTGGAGGAAGGACAACAAACTCAACACAAAAAGCAGTTCTAAAGGAATGAGTTTTCAATTTAGTATTGTGCAGTGTATTGTAATGTATAGCGTTGTGTATTGTAGTGTATAGCGTAGTGTAGTGTTTCGTGTAGTATGTATGTTGAACTTTCGCACCGTACGTAGCCAGCCGCACTAATCGGAGGTACGGGGGGAAGGACAACAAACGGAACACAAAAAAAGAAGTTCTAATTTTCAAAAAGAAATGTGTCGGTAGTGAAGCTTGCGCATGGAATTAAATTTGCGCGCGCGAGAGAGAGAGAGTCGCTCGTGGCTTTCGCAGACTTCGCGTCGTCGTCGTCGACCCACCCCCCCAGCGTGAGCCGCTCGCTCATCCTCGGAATTCCCTTTTCCCCCCCTCCTGCCCCGAGCAGTCCAAGAAGGGCAAGGCGGAGGACACGCGACGGCAGCTCATGGTGATCCTGCTCAACGGGCAGAGGCTGGAGCTCACCACGGACCCCAAGGCCAAGGGGAAGGAGGTGTTTGACTTGGTGGTGGCCCACACTGCGATGGTGGAGCCGTCTCTCTTTGGCCTCGCCTACAGGAAAGGTGATGGTCTGTGAAAGCCACTGTGTATCCATTTATGGTTTGATTACTTTTTTTTATCTTTTCCTACGTATTTATGCAGTTAACAAAGTGCTCGTCTGCTCGCACGACACCAAAATCTTTACCGTACTAAACAAAGACCAAGATCCCCCGGATAGCTTTAACAGACTGTTGGGGAAAGTGCTGTTAGTGAGCGCCTATGAAGCTCGGCACGGTACACGAGGGGGTGGGTGGCCAACACCACGCCGGACCGCCTTTGTTTCCCCAGTGGTGATGTTAACACACCGCACCAGGTACTCATTTGAGGCTGAGTCGACCTAGGGGAGGAGGCCCAGGACCGGTTCAGATAATCGTCGCTGGGGTTGGCGGTGAGTGGGAATTGAACTCAGGTGGTCAGGTTTGTAACGCAGCTAGCTAACCGCTACACGACTGCTCCCCACCGTGGCAAATACACACGCACACACTTTACTTTTTTGCATTCGAGCTGGGCTCACTCAGTTCGCTTTTGTTCTTTTTGACGCACAAACCGAGGCTAATGCCATTAAGCTCGTTTATCATTGGCAAAATATCGGCTAATATTCAAACAACTTAATGTTATTTTGCTGCGGTTGGCATATTTATATTGAGCTGTTGTACATTATTTTTTTATATAAAATGACGAGCCAGAAGCCGCTACGAGGCTGACCGGAGTTGGCACGATTGTTTTTACGATACCTTGACGAGGTCGGCAAGGTATCGTGGTTCATTTGCGGTGTCAGTGTTTGACAATTGCTCAGTGATTGCGCAACACACCGAAGTGTCTTTTTAAGTCGGTGCCGATACAATCTGTGCCTCTCTGGTCTCAGACGCAGAATTCTTCTTCCTGGGCTCGGATGTGAAGCTGCACAAGGTGGCTCCGGAGAGCTGGCGCGAGGGAAACAAGCGACGACACAAGGCGGTCGACCCCTTCAACCTCTACCTCCGAATCCGCTTCTTCCCCGACAACCTCGCGCAGCTCGAGTGAGAGAGTGCGGGCACGGCCCTCCAAGCAGCAGCCCTCAACCGCCGCCCTCCTCCGATTTGAATCGTTCTTTTCTCCCACCGCTGGACGAAGGCCTCCACGCCATCATCGCCCATCGCTACCATCCACCTCACTGCTGGACACGATCTCTTGATCAGTTAGTTTTCGAGATTGAAAGCTCATTTCTTTAGAACTGCTTTTTGTGTTTTAGTTTGTTGTCCTTCTCCCGCACCTCCGATGAGCACGGTTGGCTTCGTACAGTGCGAAAGCAGTTCAACATACATACATCTCATTGCTCCATCTCCACAGGGGGGCGCCATCTTCTTCTGTGCGTCCTTTCCTTTGGCTGCCATTCTGTCGTCCGCTACCGTCCTGTCCAGCCATGTAGTTGGTGCACGGCACTATTAACCCGGAGGCCCGAGTTTGATTCGCAGCCAGACATGCCATTGGTGAGCAGTGTTATCTGAACCAGTGCTGCACCCCTCTGCACTGCTCCCTCCCCCCTCCACTAGCCTCACCCCAACTCTCCTTTACTCAGAGTGTGCCCAAACAGCCGCCCGCCACTGGCCCGTGGATTGAGGCCTTCATCCAGCAGTGGATTGGCAAAGGGCTATAACTATTCAATGCAGTCTGTGTCTGCATCCACCCTTACACTGTTACTCTCCACATCAGTGTTCTCTTCAGAGCTTGGATGTATGAGCACTCTACGTATGCAATCCCGCCCATGCAGTACAAACACAATTCGAAACTCGAGCACTTAAATTTGATTCAGGAGACAGAAAATAATTTACAGATTAAATGTACAAAGAGGATTGGCTGAGGATACAGTGAGCAAGGCGGGTGAGGGATTAACCACAAAAGGTGCGGAGGAGAGGGTTCTTAAGTTCAGACTTAATCTGGGGAAGGGAACTGAGACAATGTACTAAGTATGTGATATTGCGTGCGCACACACACGTGGGGAGCGGTAGTGCAGTGGTTATCGCGCTGCTCTTCGAACCCAGCGACCCGGGTTCCATTCTCGCTCATGGCCAACACCAGCGACGATTTTCTGAGCCGGTCCTGGGCCTCCCCTAGTTCGACTCAGCCTCAAATGAATACCTGGTGCGATGTGTAAACATCGCCACTGGGGAGACAAAAGCAGCCGGGCGCTGGTGTTGGCCACCCACCACCTCATGTGCTGTGCCGGCCTTCATAGGTGTTACTCGTGAACAGCACTTGCCCCTACAGTCTGTTCAGGCTATGTGGGGGATCTTTGTATTTTTGTCGTTTGCACACATGTACGCACACACAAGTGTTCAGATCACATTACGCCGTCGGTAAGTGCCACGGTCGTCTGACCTTTGACCGACGCTTTAACAGACACGAGCAGACAAGGCACCAGTACTACTTGCAGATGCGGAGGGATATCTTGGAGGAGAAGGTGTCCTGTGACAGCGAGACGGCGATATTACTGGGCTCACTCGCGCTGCAAGCCGAGTACGGGGACTACATTCAAAAGGTAGTCAAACAACTCCATTGCATTTAATATGTAAATGTGTTTACGTAGGATTCTGTGGACACAATGGTGAGTTGTAACCCGCCTAAGTATTGTGTTTAATAATTTAAATGTACTGTATATGAGACCAAAATAGTGATGATTCGCAGAGTAATGATAAAGTGCCAAGTTTCCAAAATGAATAAGAGCATTGACGCAGAAATTGCACAATTATTAACGTACATATTTTTTTTGTACGTGTGGTGTTGGTGGAGTAGCGCTTGGAGTGGTTTGAGCATTGTGCTATGAACCCGGTGACCTAAGTTAGATTCCCAGCCACGGTGAATGTTGGTGGTGATATCTGCACAGACCCTTGGGGGGGGGTCCCTCCTTCGCCAAACAGCAACACACCAGCATGGTGAAGTATGGTCCAACAACTCCCACGACCGTCACGATGTGAGGATGCCTTCACCCAACATCGGTTGGACAAAGGGGCTGAAAACTTAATAATTCAACACACCTATTTTTTGCGGAGACTTTTAAACCGTTGTTTTTTGTGTTTATCATAAAGATAAAGGTGCAGGCATGCACCTTTACCCCCCCCCCTTCCCCAGAGGGTATTTGGCCTACTCTACCATGCTGGTCAGACTTTCTGGAAGTGGTAGCAGTACCCACCACACTGTACACCACCACACGTGACCTGCCGTTCGCCTAATTGCTTGCGGTAAACTTGCCCATTCTTTAAACCACCTGCTTATGGATCTGTGTGCCCGTCGCAGCTGCACGGGAAGAACTATTTCCACCCTGAGCTCTACCTGCCGGGCAGCACCATATCACGCCTCACCTCAGCCTACGTCCGCGACGAGATGCCTCGCCTGCATGCCAGCTACAACGGCGCCGTCCGCGCCACCTCCGAACTCGAGTTCCTCAAGGTTTATTACTCCACTAAAACTAAACTATTTTTTTTATTTTACCAGGTAAAGCCCACTTCGCTATATAGCTCTTTTTCAGAAGTGACCTGGCCATCGCACATGATAGCTCAATGAAGTGGCAATATCATCATGTGGACATTTATAGGAGCCAAAATACTCTTAAGCAGCGGTGGATTGACTAAAGGGCTGCACATTTGTGCACATGTGTACATGTGCAGCCCTTGCCCGGAATTGCAAGGGAAATAAAATAACTTTATTGGTATCGGGCGTGTGGCACAGTTTGGCGCCAGCTATCATAGGCTGCGGTTGTGTCACTGCAATTTTCTGCGGTGAGTACAGTGTCTTTAAAAACAGCGACACTATACCTCTCTAAATTAAATTAATGCTGACCCGAATGCACGTTCCGAGATTCGGCGGTGAACGGGTCACCCACCTTGCAACTTGTAGATGTCTCAGAACGGGAAAGGGTTACAATGCATGCCACTATGGACGCACAGGTTGACCCCAGGCATTGTGTTTGATTACAGGTGGCCCAGATGCTGCCCGACTACGGCATGCATTTGTACCGCGTGCGCATGGAGAAGAAGTCGGCGGGTACCGTGCTGTTTGGGATCTGCGCCACGGGCGTGGTGGTCTACAGTTTCCCCAACGGCACCCGCACCGCCAGCCTCAAGTTCCCCTGGAGGGAGACCAAGAAGATCTCCTTCCAAGTGAGCAAGCCGGTCGCAGATGCGTTCTCATTACGCTGTGGTGCTGCACTGCACCGCGACATGGCTTCGGGTTGTGTTTGTTGTTCGGCATGTGGTCTTGACGTGCCAGTCTATGTGCTGGCACGTGTTCTCACAGTACGTTTCGCTCCACGCGCTGAGAACGTTCAGTCGTCGGAAGACGCACCCAGCACGCAAAACGTCAGATATCGCGCCGAATAACACATGCACCAGAGGGCACTTTTGCCGCCTTTGGAACCGTCGCTGCCGATATCCGTGTTGTGACACGGCACTGAGCCCCACTCTGTCGCCGCTGTCCGTGCTGGCTGACCTTGCTGGCTGTCTGTGCTGGCTGTCTGTGCTGGCTGTCTCTGCTGGCTGACCTTGCTGGCTGTCTGTGCTGGCTGCCCGTGCTGGCTGCCCATGCTGGCTGTCTGCTGGCTGTCCTTGCTGGCTGTTCGTACCGGCTGTCTCTGCTGGCTGTCTGCTGGCTGTCCAAGCTGGCTGCCCAAGCTGGCTGCCCAAGCTGACTGTCCGTGCTGGCTGTCCGTGCTGCACGCATTCACTGTTAATGTGCCATTTTATTAAGGGACTACTGTGTGTTGTTATCTTGGTGTGGTTTTGCTACCTTGCCCAATCTTGATAAATCGGACTGCTTTGGATTTTTCTCCGGGTCCTCCAATTTTCCCCTCCACATTTAGAATCAACATGCGTTTAGAGTCTTTGGCTGCTATACGTTTCCGCACGATGATAAGCCATTTGTGGCCAGGTCGCTTGTGAAAAAGAGCTACATTTCTCAGTGGGTCTTACCTGGCAAAATAAAAAGGTAGTTATATAATGTATTTATTTTTACCTTATATTTAGTGACTTGCCTACCATTTTCCCAATTTTTTGCGCTATCGTTTTTTAGTTTTGTTTGCTGTTGTTACTCGCTGACCCGTCCCATACCAGACGTCCGTGAAAAATACCTTCGCACATGGCTCATCAGATTCCTCCTCCAGTCTAAGTAAAGGTTGCGACTCTGATGATTACAGAGGAAGAAGATCACGATGCAGAACACGATGGACACGGTGAAGCACATCTACCTTGCCGACGACCTCAAGACATGCCGCTACCTGCTGGAATTTTGCGCTGCGCAGCACGCCTTCACCATGCAACGCCGGGGCCGCCAGCACGGTACGGCGCGGCCCCGGCCGTGTGGTCGCAAGCGCGGCGTGAACGGGCACCGGAAAAGACCGCGGGAGTGTTCGTTATTCTTGCATCGAGTGCATGCGGGGGCGCGCGTGGGTGCGCGCGTGGGTGCGCAGCGGTGCGGTTTATAGCGTGTGGTTTTGCGTTGTTGAAATTCCGGCGTTGAATTTGTTATTCTCGTTTTTTTTACGAGTTTTGTTAGCGGGGAGGTTAGCAGTGGTGGTGGGACAAAACCGGCAACGTGAGTTCAATGCCCGGCCACATCTAACATCAGTGGCGAGCGATATTTGATACCATACCTGGCCCCTGCATAAACCATCAAACCTCCACCCCCCCCCCCCCCCCCCATTCTTTCACAAAGCTGTACCAAACCAAATTGGTGATGTACGATCAAACAACCCCCACGATCAACACGGCATTCAGCAGCGAATTTACACATGGCTGTAAATTAATGATGATGAAGTTGATAATACAGCAATGAAAGGTGAATCCATATTGACAAAGAGCTTCCATTGTATTATTCTTTCTCTTTGCATTGCTTTTCCGGCCTTGCCCTGACGTAAATCCTTTCGGCTGTTTTTCAATCTACACGGTGACAGAACATTACGACGAACAAGAATCATTTTCAGGATGTACGGCGTGATAATGCTTTGCTAAGATATTGAATTACGTTTCCTGAAGCGCACTTGTCAAATGAAAATAAACAGTATGCCAGATACGGTTTGTGTCTATTATGGAAGAGTCCTTCCAGGGATTGTTTATTTACGAACTTATTTGAAAATGATGGTGTTGTTTAATCAAACAAACAAATTACCATTGCTCAAATCTGTCAGCTTCACTCCTCCAAATGTTTGGGAATTTAATAACCCCCGTGCAAAGCTGTCAAAGTGCATACATCTGGTGTAGAGCCCTGCAGCGCTTTTCTTGTCCAGACTTGTCTACTGCTGCTCTACTGGATTATCTTGCTCAGCTAGGCCAGGAAAACAGGGCAACAGTAACTTCAGACTTGTGAAATTTTTTAAAAAATAAATGAAACGTCTACATTCTTATGCACGATTGAGCGCCAAACATATCCCGCAAATTGTTCTAATTCGGGCACACGTTTTTCTCCGTTGCAGTGCATAATTGTTCAGGTAGCTTAATGTTAGGGTGACACCAATGGAATGTGCGATCGAAATTTTTTTGACGTGATAAAATTTGTTTCCGTCAAAGAAATGCGTTTCAGAAAGTTTGATTTCGATCAGTGTGTTCCACCCTGGCCCTCGTCTTCGTGCTCACACATCACACGGCACCTCAAATGGCATTGCAAAACGATATGTTTTTTTTTACTTCGAGCATTATTTTCTGTTCACTCAAACAGGCATTGTTGTGCAGGTCTCGCGCCATAGGGGCTATCGTCAATGAGTTTGATTTGTGAGCAACTCGGGGAAATAAGCTTAAATTCCAACATATAAATCCTCAATTATCTGTCCACCTGTGAAATGGTTGTTTCCACAATTTGATTATGCAATATGATTTAAAAAAAAAATGGTTGTGCAGAAACGCACAGGACCTCTGCTGTGCACTTGCCCTTCAATTCACGTAACTTAACAAGACAATTTTTACCATCACAGTGCACCGTGGCTAATATTTATGGATTTACAGGTCCAATGATGAAAATTTCCCCATTTGCTCTGAACCCAGTGTGAGAGCTGCTTGCTAATGTCATTGCTTGGTCGATAATATAATTGCCCGGTGTAAGCTTAACCCTTGGACAATGGCCGTAATTTAGCATCTGTGCAGCCTGGGCAGTTTTTTTTTTCTCCAAATAAATATACAGCCTCACTCTTGATGAGGTTAGTACATTTTACAAATACACTGTGAATTCCGCCTTAAACAAAACAAGAAATGCAGGTGAAAAATACTTTAATCCTAATGGAGAGAGATGCATTCAAGCAGTGGAATACAATTTAAACTTTTCGCCGAGTCCATATAAAATCAGGAAAAAGGACACTTGAAATGATATTTTTTGTTTATTAAGCAGCTAGCAGTGATTGCTTAGTAGAATTGCTGCAATAATGTGGAATTTCACCGCCGGGTTAATGCTGTAAAATGAGAGCGCTGCGCTATGTTCATTCGAGTCGGCCAACGACATTTCGGAATTTCATTCTAATGTGTATACAGTACGGCACTAGTCTAAGGACATTTCAGACGGATTTGTTTTTTACCGCGTGGGACGTTAGTTTTAGCGGAGACTTGTATCGCAGATTTCTATTCAAAACAACCCTACGTTGATTGTGGCATTGCGGAACCATGAGAAATCTCCTCCGCTTCGGGAGCCCTTCTACCAGCAGTGGATGGATCGGAGCTGATGATGATGCAATTTTGTTGATCATCGTTGGCTACGATCCATCCCAGCAGTGGATGGATCGTAACTAATGAATGATATTGCGGAATCAGTATGGATTATATTGCGTCATCATCATCATCATTGTCAGCAGCAGCTACGGTCTTTCCACTGCTGAATATATGGATCGTAGCTTAATGCCGATGATGAATGATATTGGCATTTCTCGCTCCTGATGTGCGCGATCAGTCTCGGGGCTGCACTTCTACGACGACTGCTCGGGCACGCTTGGGCTGACGGGCGCCCCGAGCATGATGGAGTTGTCGGCCCCGACTCCACAGCCTCCTCGCCCGCGCCTGCACTCCATGCACGCGCAGCTGCTGCACAACTTCTCGCGCTCGCAGGTGGACCTGTGCGGCGCCCGCCGCCCGTCGCAGGACAACGCCAGCATGGACGACTCGTACCGACAGCTGCCCACGCACCTCGGGCCCGGCGTGCGGAGCCCGCGTAACTCAGGTGCGAGCGAGCGTGCGCGGTGGGCAGCGGTAGTGTGTTGGTTCGAGTGCTTTGCTCACCGAGTTCACTTCATTGCCAAGGCTAGCGATCGGGGCGGTCGTCTGAAAAGGAATCGTAATCCATGAGGTAGACTCGGCTTTGAGTGAGTGCCTGGTACAGTGTGTAAACACCGGCACCCGGGAGACACAGTTGGCCAGCCATGGTGCTTGCCACACGTGTGTGGAACTTCTTTCGCACCGTACATAGCCAATAGTCTGAATCGGAGGTGCGGGGGAAGGACAACAAACTAAACACAAAAAGCAGTTTGGAAGAAATGAGTTTCCTGTGCTGGCCTTCTGAGGTGCTCGCTCAAAGCACTTGCCCCAGAAGCACGTGCAGGCTACACGGTGGATCTTTGTCATTATGCGTGCGTGTTTACGCGGCATTCTTTTGCACCTGGACGGCGCGTGCGCGCGAGTCGTTGAGCTGGAGCGGAAAACTCGTGGTGGGGGCCCGACGTCACCGTCGGATTAAAATTTAAAGTTGCGGCAAAACGCGACAAAAGGTGCTGTGTCGATTATTATTGCAGCCGTGTCATGGCCGCGTTTGTGCTATGCGTAATGATGTGAATAATTTACGATTCCATTACAGAGTGGAGGCTCAGTACGACATCAGAAATGCTCATCCCTGGCATGGTGGATGGCAATGGTAATGAAAACACAACACACAACCGAACTTACATATCCAGTTTGGGCATACAGCAACTGCGTTCATTTTTCATTAAAGTAAGGCCCGTGAGCTGTTTCCCCCTTCGCTGCACAAGTTAATTACGTAGCAAAGTGAAATATGAGCGCATTGAAACCAAAAAGTTCCATACGCAGTATTACAATACGTTGTGGATTATTATAGCGCAAGTGCATGACGATGCCACGATGATTTTTATATAACGGATGCGGATGCCAGTAGCACATGCTTTGTTAGCACTCCTTAGGCATGTGTGCTTATGCAAGCTTATCTAGCGTACAGTCATTTCTGTACATGCACTTCTGGAATATTGCCAGAATGGCTGGTATTTTTTTTATTTACAGCCAGAGCAAACCGGGTTTTTATTCCAGGCAATGAACACCTTTGATAATTGGAAAACATAACAAGTTAATTAAAAGCAAACATAGGTTGTGTATTATTTTTTTTACCATCACTGAGGAAGATCTCAATGTTTTTGGATTTTTCACAGTTAATAATGGGTGGCCACGGTGGCCAGATGTTGACTACCTCACCCAGTATACAGGAGGTCGTGGGTTCGATCCCGACCCCGACCCTGACAACTGCTTATTTTGCATTTGCATGTTCTTCCTGTGGTCGTGTAGATTGTTCTCCAGGTCCTCCGGTTTTTTCCCTCCACATTTAGAATCAACATACGTTTAGAGTATTTGGCTGTGATAAATTTCCACGTGATAAGCCATTTTCTTGAGCAATCCTTTGTGGCCAGGTTGCTTTAATGATGACGATCATAATAATTAGAATGCTGAGATGTGAAGGTGTGTGTTTGTTGGTGTCGGATGATGGATTCACTTGGTTGCAATTTTGCATCGGTCTTTGATAAAAAAAATATTTTTTGTAACCGAACCTGGCAAATGGACAGTTGGCAATTGGTATCTGAACCTAGATTTTTGTCTTCCCCCTTGGTACAGCCAACGATCGCGCTACTGGCACGGCAAAGCAGTTGGATAAGGTGTTTGCCATATCCTATCTGCCTTTGTGCTGCGTGTATGTACGTTGAACTTCTTTCGCGCCGTACGTAGCCAACCGTGCTAATTGTAGGTGCGGTCCTTCGTAGGTGATCGCTAACGGTACTCTCCCCAACCGTGGTGTTTGTGTGGTTGTTATTGGGCGGTCGATCCGCGTATTCGAATCCGTGAGCCGCTCTCACGCCGAGTGCCATTACTCTGTTTCACAGTAAAAACTGCGGACGTTTGTGTTGCTCAAACATTGCTGCGCAGACGGAGCGATGCGGTCCAGACCCGTGACGCCCCCACCCGAGAGGATTATCTCATTCATCCAGCTGAAGAAGCACCCGGCGCACGGCCTCGGTGAGGCCTGCTTCACTTCATTTGCACGGACAAAGCCTTGCTGCGCGCCCCCTGCCGCCAAATGGCCCCTACTTGCACCCAAGTCTTGCCAGATCCTCGCAAGCCTAGCAGGATTGAGCTCGAACCCTCCCCGCCCCGCCCCTTACCGGACATCTGTGAAAAAGAGCTTCATAACTTATAGTATTCCTCCTGTCTAATAAAGATTCTCATAGTGCATAAAACATGGTGTCATCAGGCTATGGGGCTACATTGAGGGCAGCAGAGGGCAGCGCAGTAGAATAAATTGTTGTACTTGTATGCCCCCGCGCCAATGCTGCCCGCCTTCATCAGCTTGCCCTGACCAGCATGATAAAGTACGGCCACAACAACCCCACAGGCCACATGGTGTTGACAGTTTCATCCAGCAGTGGATTGACAAAGAGCCGTACGTGGATGTACGGACGTAACGTAGTGTTAACATCTTTTTGCCAAAGCGAGTCGCCCGTGTCTGGTTTAACGGTCTGACATGGTACGGGGGATACAGCCTCGCATAAGATGAAGCAGTTATTGGCGAGTATTATTATTGGCCCGTTACTCGTCGACGCACGGTCTCGCTTGAGCGCACATTTTTGCTAAGTTTACCGAACGTGCGACATGAAGAAATTCATGCTCTTTCTGCGCTGAGAGTTGTACCATCCACTTACTCATCAATGCACTTGCCCAGAACGAGTGAAAGCCAGCTTCTTAGCACACTCACTTAAAACACAAATGCCGCGAATTGGCAGCCTCACTGGCGTGCTACATGAGAACGTTTTTTATCGTTCATTATTGAATGTCCGAATAATTCGTGGAAAGCCACCGGTCAGCGCTGCGTGCGTCGTGCGTGCCAACTTATTTTGTAAGAAGCTTTTTAGGCCTGCGCCTGTCTTGATATCTTAAATAAAATATACTTATATATGCAGTTTATATAATTTTCCTTTGTGCTCTGTGATGGTGGTTGTGGTTACCCCCTGTTTTCTACGGTGTCGGGAGATGTGGGTCCTATTCCGTCGCTGTACACTGCAGTTCTCGGTTTTCTCGGGTAAAGCTGGGGAAGGGTTTAGCCGTATTAAAGACAAACACAGATGATGCAAAACTCACGTGAATTATGCTGTAAAGTGTATTTTCCATAATATAGGTTTTTGGGTTATATTGCGTAAACATGAATGTGTCGTTAAACCCGCCGCCACCCGACACAGCCAAATATAATTACAATACCCCCCCCCCCTCCGCCTCTAATCGATGCACCTGATATGAGTTAAGTGATGACGTCACCCTGCTGCTCTATATAAAACCGGGAGCAAGCGAGGGCTTTACCATTCTGGCGAATTGCCCGATGATGCTGGTTGTATTTACCAGCGAAACGTCGTACTCAAACTGTAAATGTGGATTCGCTCTTCAACACACCGGTGGGCTAAAGTAGTGAATTATTTGTCTTTTTGTCAACGTGACACCTTTTTTTGCTGATTGGCCGTGTCGGGTGGTGGAGGGTTACGACACATTTATAAATAAACGCGATCTAACCCAAAAACCTTTATTATGAATAATATTGGTCGCGAAAGCCTACATGTTAAACTAAGGTTTGTCACGTAAACAAAGCATGGCAATTCCTTACTTTCCCAACACACCGGTCTGCTGTACTACTCTCCAACACACCGGTGTGCTGTACTAGTAACGAATTGGCATGTTTTGTTTTTCGTGACAAACCTTAATAAATTGGCCGCATCATGTGGTGGCGGGTTTAACGACACATTTATAATCACGCGATCTAACCCAAAAACTTATATTATGGATAATATTGGTCACGAAAGCCTACGTGTTAAACCAAAGTGAATTTTGTTTACCAACATACATTGAATGTTGCCTCCTGTGTTTATTGCTTCGTTGCTGCTTTTTTTCGCTTGGTGACATGTTGGTAGTCACGTAATCACTGACCTGCCTTACCACACGTGAGGAGCAGCTGAAAGTCCACCCGCGGATAATGATGCGTTTAACTGTAAATCGCCGATGCAGTTGTACCGTCAGTGTGTTGCGGTTGGATGTTTGAAATCATGATTCCTGCGCAGGGTTTCACATCGTCGGAGCAGACGACATGGGCCAACTTGACCTGGGCATTTTCATCAGCTCCATCACCCCCGGGGGTCCTGCTGATAAGAACACGCAGCTGAAACCCGGTTAGTTGGCACTTAAATTAGGAGCCCCCCCCCCCCCCCCCCCCCCCCCCCCCCCCCCCCCGATGGACTGTGTTTTGTTTACACGCGTCATCTGAAAGCGCGCAATGCCAGTGACCGTCTTTGTTCGGTGGCCAGCCAAAATCCACTGCTGCGAGAATGACTGGAGTTCACGTGACGGTTTGTGCTATTTGACGAGATCAGCAAGGGATTGCAGGTTCATTTGTGGCAAGCACTTCGTGTGTGTGTGTGTGTAACGAGTGCGAAATGGGTCGACGGGTTGTCTGGCGTCCAGGCGACCGGCTCATCTCGGTGAACAACACGAGCCTGGAGGGGGTGTCGCTGGAGACGGCGCTGCACATCCTGGAGTCCACGGGCGACGACGTGATGCTCATTGTCTCTCAGCCCAGGCACCCCCAACAGCTCAACCAAGGTGCTCAAGGTTAGACCCATTCCCCCCCTCCCTGCCAATGGCACTTAAAGCCACCTTCTCCATTTGGCATATACTTTGTCTGTAGAGTTTTGATACCATTGGCACAATGGACTTGCATTCCAAATGTCGCCGATTTGAACTCCCGGAGCGGCAGTTGTAACAATGGTGCACATTTCTTGAACCCCTCCCCCATCTCTCTGTCCACCCAACAATCTCAATGTGGATATGCTACAATGAGTTGACTGGCAGGTAGCGTGCTGTGGTGTAAAGTGTGGGTAGAGTAGGCCAAATACCTTCTTAGAGCTTCCTCAAGTAAAAGCCCTTCTGCCAGCGGTGGTGTGGGCAAGCAATTGCAGGGCTGCACCTTCATGTGTGTATGTTGAACTTTTTTTGCACCGTACACAGCCATCCGTGCTAATGGGAGGTGCGGGGGAAGGACAACAAACTAAACACAAAAATCAGTTCTATAGAAATTAGTTTTTAGTCGAGATTTAAAAGTGTATTGCTCCAGTGGCTTCCCAATTATAGATAGATAGATAGATATTTTTTAAAGAAAATAAGCTGCGGTAAATTCCAAATAATTGCTGAAAAGCCTCTTACTCGCTTGGTAAGATCGCTTCACCTTGTGTTCAATTCCCCCAGGTGCTTGGCACTCGAACACCGGCTCGGCGTTAAAAGTGCCGGCGATCGTTCCCAACGCCAAGAGGAGGCCGAGCCTCGGCACGGCGCGGCGTTCGACCGCCACCGCCACCACGCACAGGAAGAAGGACAGCATGAGCTCGGAGGTCTCCGGCACGGAGAGCGAGCAGCACCAGGGCCCGCCGCCGTTTGACGCGCACCCGGCTTCGCACGCCGTCGCCGAAAGAGGCCTGAGCCCGCAGGACCTGGAGCGGATGCTGCCGGACGGCAGCAAGTCGAGCGCCGCCGTCGACAGGGCCGCGGGTGGCGGCGGTGGTGGTGGAGGCGGAGGCAGGGCGGCCAAGGACGACACCACGGATGGGGGTGCCTCATCTCGCAAAGTCTCGTTTCTGCAGGAGGTTCGCAAAGTCGAGGTAAACGACCGTTCTCGCAGGATGCCGTCGACGAATTGCACTGCAGGCTTTTTACAATTTGAACCTCGACGTGCGGGGTGGACCAGTGGTACTGTGGTTAGCGCCCTGTGCTATGACCCTTAGGACCCGAATTTTATTCCCGACTGCGGTTAACATTTGTGGTCGGTGAACTCTTGAACTGGCCCTGTGGGGACTGCTTTTACCCACATAGCACTGCGACCAGCGTGTCGAAGGGTGGTTAAAAAGTCCCCATGACCGAAAGGTGTGGGGAAGCCTTCATCCAGCAGTGGATTGATGAGGGCCTCTGCGTTGCATTATGTTTTACGTTACAATTTGGATTTGTAAAGAGTCTGTCACTGCTACTCGAGACACCGGTTATGAGATAATTACGAATTGTAAAGTTCATTCTCAGCAGGTTATTTTTTATATCTGTAGACACTGTGCTTTTTCACGAAACATTGTTCGTTCGCACCTTATCACCGATTAGAGTCACATCATGAGGCAAAGAAATGTCATTTCCAGAATTCCGGCAGCCACCTTATGTCGGGGAATGACCTCTCAAAAGTGGACACCATACAAATATTTCACTTGCATAGGTCTCTCGAATCCAGCACAGACTTCTTCAGGATTGTGATTCACCAAATGTTGATACACTGTATCCCTCAGAGCCAAAATGTTATGCAATTTTTTTTTAGTACAGTTGTTGGTTCACAGGATGAGGCAATCAGCTCACTACACTTGAGAATCTCGATTAATATTGGTGGGCGGCTGCCACTATTCCAACGCAGGATTCTCTTCCGTATTGGCTTAGAGCTCTGACGCGGAATTAACCATCAGCCACAAGGCCGCCTCGCCTTACCAGCTCTCTGATGAAGAGCTCTTTCGTCAGTCCACTGCTGGATGAGGCCCTCCCCATGCTGTGTGGGTCGTGGGGGTTATTTGACTTCACAATACTGGTCAGTGCGCATTGGGTGAAGGTGGCGAGTACAGATATGGCGGGGTAGACGTATGTATGTTGAACTTCTTTCGCGCCGTACGTAGCCAACCGTGCTCATCGGAAGTACAGTACAACAATGTATTTCGCTGCATCTCCTTCCTGTTGTTCTACTTCTGCCTAAACGTCAATGCCGATCGTCTTGTTTATCAGCATGCTTGGGTTACCGTTTGTGGACCTGCCACTGTGTGTGGGTGCATGCAGGCCTTGAAAGGAAATGGTGGCCTGAAGCCAGGGGACGTCTACACCCTGGAGCTCTACAAGCAGGACGGAAGCTTAGGGTTCATTGTCACGGTCAGCTTGTCGATAAATATACGAACAAATTAATCTTTGCTCGCGTTTATTCTGTTTGAATCGCTTCATAAGGTTAAAAACACACACGCACGCACACTTCCAAAAACAGGACCTGACAATTAGCATAAGAATATAGTTAAATATCCCTCCCCCGGGTTGACTGTGCCCCCCTTAAACAAACTGAACGCATCAGGTACGTAGGCCTGGCGGTTACTCGCGTATGGTTATTTTCTGCCACCCAGCGCTTTGCTACAGGCCTACGTTCTTGTGTACAACAAAAAACTAATAAAAAATATAAAAGAAAAGAATATCGTTTAATATAAATAAACGTCAATGTAGAATGTTTGGTATCGAGACAGAGCGTGTCTGCGTGTGTGAGCTGGGGAGTGGTGGCCCAGTGGTAAGCACGCTACACTAAGAAAACCCGGCGGCCCAAGTTTGATTCCTTCTCGTGGCGAACACCGGTGACGGTTATCTGCTCCTGGGCCTCCCGAGTACCTGGTGCGGTGTGTAAACATGGCCATTGGGGAGACAAAGGCGGTCGGGCGTGTACTGCTGGCCACCCACCCCTTCGTGTGCCATACCGGCCTTCATAGGTGCTCGCACGCAGCACTTTCCTCAACAGTCTGTTAAGTCTGTGTGGGGGATCTTTGTCTTTGTGTGAGCTGCACGTAGATTAGTAGAGGATACAATGTAACCCATGACATTTCTCAGCCGTGTAAATAAAAACAAAGAGAACGGCCATCAAAAAAAAAACTCTCCTTGTGTGCAAACTTTTAACGAGCGAAACACACCCAAGAATGAAACATGCCTGTGGATATTTTTCTTTCTCCAAAAATAATAGTGAAATAAATTATCGGCGTTATTGTAATATTCGTTTTGACAGGGTGGGGTGAATACGACGGTGAGGCACGGCGGAATTTACGTCAAGGCCGTCGTGCCAGGCGGAGCCGCGGATCGCGATGGGCAGATCCAGAAAGGTGCGCATCATAAAATACATCATTATAACGTACACTCATGATCACATATGCCATTATAACATACGCTCATCACATATACCATGATAGCATACACTCATTATAACATGCAACATAACGTGCACTTATTATAACACGTAACATAACATATGTTCATTTTAAATGTATAACATAATAACATACCATTATAACATACACTCAGTATAACATACACCTATAACATGTAACATCATAACATACACATAAGATGTAACGTAAGATTATTCTCCACTGCTTGTCATTTTCAAGCGACGTACATACACGGTTATAATTACTCGGCAAAGTCTGGCAGCTGCAGTCACATGCTTACATTTTGTGTAATTGCCAAGGGGAAAATGTTACCGGCCTTTTGTCGAGATGTCTGCAATGTATAAACTATGAGCAGAGGCACGTGGGTGCATGCAAGAATACCCGTCATTCTCTTGATACTTGCCCAATGTGTGTGTATCATTCAAATTGACCTTTTATTTCGTTGGCAGGCAATTATGCGTTTGCGTTTCGACGAACGTACAGGTTATTTTACTCGGCAGACTTTGTTTGTGTACACTCTTTCCCTCCCCCCTCCTGCCCCTTTCCCCCCAACTCCCTACACCCCACCTTGTTTACCCTTCACTTGTGTTCCTTTCACCTTGCCTTCCCCTTGGAAAATATCCGTGCTCCCGCCTGTAGTCCCTGCGCTAGTGGGGTAACGACGACCCCATTTCCCTCCCTTTCACCCGACCCGCGAGCACCGCATTTCGGTGGGGGGGGGGGATTTCTGTGCCCCCCTTCCTTTTTTTCTCGCTCGCACCCCGTACCGGGCTCTTGTCAAGATTAAAAAAGTAAAAAAAAAATGTAAACCTTATTATTCTCTCTGTGGGTTAGGTGGGTTTCTGAGTTTGGGTATCAACTGAGGGAGGCGAGCGCTCAGTGTGGGGCTGCTGGCGGGAGAGCTGGGCACCTGGAAAGAAGGAGAAACCGCCTGTTGAGCGGAGATTGACACTAGAGATGTTTCAGGATCCCAGTTGGATGTATGTACTATTTTTAACTTATTTCGCACCGTACGTAACCGACTGTGCTAATCGGAGGTGCGATACAGTTTACTGGAGTGGAGAGTGTGTGGGGTGGTCAAAAGTGAACGGTGAGGTTGGGAATGGAGTTTGCGTGTCTCTCTCTCTCCCTGTGATTGTGTGGATTTTTCTTCGCATCCTCCAGCTTTTCCCTCCACTTTTAGAAACGTATGCTTAAGAGTATTTGGCTGCTATACATTTCCACATGATTAGCCACTTCGTTGGACTATCATTTGTGGCCAGGTCCCTTCTGAAAAATATCTGTATAGCTCAGTGGGCCTTACCTGGTATAATACTGGTAGGAACCTCTGGTTACACCAGCCCACAGGGGATTATTGTGTCCGTCCATCGTGCATCCAAAAATGGGAGGGGTGGGGCTGGGTGTAGAGGGGAGGGTGGGGAGGGGCTGGGTGGGGAGGGGAGGGTGGGGAGGGGCTCCCTCCGCAGGAATGCGTTAATTAAAAAAACGTTTAGTTTAGTTTGGAATGTAGAAAAGTTTGAAGTCTTGAAGGATCTTCATAAACTACAATGGGAATCTTCGAGTTGTTCATCCGATTGGTTAGGAGGTAGTGGGGTACCAATGATGTTTTTCTACAGCAGCATCCCATGTATGCATCGTGCTTGAGAGTACGTCCATTGCGGAGTTGGAGTGAGGAAATCAGCGTATAAGATCGCAGGACCGTGAGAGATATTGTGGCGGCTTGTTGTAGGCCTTCATCCAGGAGTGGATTGATCGTGGCTGATATTGATGACGAACGAATGAATGAATGATCCGATTGTGTTTCCGCTGCCGCCTTGAAGGCGATCGGCTGCTGGAGGTGGACGGAGTGAGCATGCACTCGGTCACGCACAAGCAAGCCGTGGAGACTCTGCGCAAGACGGAGGAGGTCCGACAAAGCACTGACAAAACAATCACGTCTTCGCACAATGACTGTGGCAGTTACTTGGCATGTAATGATGGTCTGTCTGATTTGAATCTGGTGACATGTGTGTGATTCCCCGGCCATCGCGTGAGCATCAGAGGCAAGTGATGTGCGAACTAGTTCTGGTTTCCCCTTGACCAGTGGGGTGAAGTATGGTCAAACAACCCCCAAGAACAAAAGGCATGCGGAGACCTTCATTCGGCAGTGGATTGATAATGGTCTGCAAAATATGTACGTGATTTAAACCAGAATACCGGACAGTAACAATTGAATCGCAGGCGGTGATGAATTATTACATCCCTAATGAACACCAGACCGGAAGGCACTCGGCAGATCAACAACATTTGGCCATCAGTAGGCAGAATATTGCACGACCATTTGAATGGCTTTTCAATTTTGGGAATGGCTCAGTATTTGCGCGGCAGTTTGAAGTTTGTTTAAATTGGTGCCTATAATATTTATACGATTTTACAATCCATTCGTTGCCCCTCATAAAGGGCGCGTAAAAATTAAAAACAAAAAGACTGAAAACGAGTCATTGACTTTTTATGCATGCCATAAAGGACTGCAATATTTACAGAGTAGCGTGGCTTTCTAGTGACTGTGTTGATCTTGTAGGATCACATTCAAGGATGTGCGTGGGAAGGATATTTCAATTTACCACTTGAATTCCCCAGTCATTACTCATATTGTGATCGCGTCCAGGTGCATTATTGTGCCGTTGTTTACTGCCATTATGGTGTCAGAACTTTACTTTGTGTGAAATGTCTAGACAACTTTGAATTTGATGGTTTCGTATTTGTTTTATTTTTGAGGTTTTATGACGCCAATATGTCATGAAAGGTAACTTGTGATAAAGGTAATTTGTAGGTTTTTTTGCGGTGGTGCCGTTTCGCTCTCCGACGTGTTTTCGGGGTGGTATTGCGCGTCGTTCGGCACAATGTCCGACGCTTCGCTGCATGCGCCCCGGGAGCTTCTACAGGCACTGAATTCAGTTCCCCAGCAGGTGGAGCGAAACGTCGGGCATCCTGCCGAACAACACGCGGCACAGCCCGCAGACACGTCGCAGAGCTAATCCACGCTAACATTTTATGGCAGGGGCCTAGAAAATGCACACGTCGCGTTCTTTCAGACCTATTCATTTCACGTCAACTTGTCGGTTGGCTACGTACGGTCCGAAAGAAGTTCTACATACATAGCTAATCGTTCATCATAATGAAGCTCGTCTTATTTTTTCTTCAGCAAATGGTGTGCCTGGTGCTGGAGAAATGTGGTGCTCAGCTGGAAGACTTTGAAGATGTTTCCAATCCTGGATTGCAGACCTCGACGAGCAGGGAGTTGTCCCCCAATTCTCAAGTCAAGCGCTGGACAGAGGCAGGAGACTTCAAGTACTACAGCTTCGTGACGGAGAGTGAGCAGCCCTGAACAGAAGTATCACAGCCACTCCGAAGTGTTCCTCCTATCGGGTTAATTTTTGGTTAGATAAGGAATGTTTTATTTGGTTTGGCATGCTTCTAACAACTCAATTATATTCGTATAATCATTTATCCTGACAACAACAATTGCCTATACCGTGTCCTGTACTAGTACACGTTATGATCAACTTTGCAGCTTAATGCAGTAAGAGCTAAACCATTCTTAAAGGAATTCTTTAATTTGCAGGCAAGTAAGAATTAACTCCTCTAGTGATTTGAGTAAATATCACGAGCCGGGGACCACCATGCAATCTCTTCTTGGCTCATTTTTCCCATCCCGTTTGTGTTCTTTAAACTATTTTTTTTTTCTCATTTGCACAATTTAGTTCTGTCAATTAGATTCAATGTAACTTAAGAATACTTTTTTTCTCACGCGATGTCCATTCATAACAAACGATTACACTCTCACGTCCGCAACTCGACGCACGTTAACCCGAGCGTAAAAATCTCTTTTAACCGATGAATTATCGCGTTATGTGCCTCGCAACTTGTCTGTGCAGCATCACATTAAGTGAGGAGCTCACCTGGAGCGAACCTCGGGGGCACACTGCTACACCCACCCTGGCTGGGCGGGGGTGGGTGGGGGGGGCCTGCGTCAATGCGAAGCGACGTCGCCGTTCGAACGAGCTTACCGCCTCGATTGAACGAGGGACCCCCGTCGCTGTGCACCTCGCCCCCTGCCCTCCGCCCCCGTTGTGCGCAGACAACGTGTTCGAGGTGCTGCTGAGGAAGGGCGTCGGCGGCCTGGGGTTCAGCTTCATGGGCGACACGGACCCCGGCTCGCCGGAGGCCGTGCGCACCGTAGTGCGCGTCAAGCGGCTCTTCCCGGGCCAGCCGGCGGACGCGAGCGCCCGCATCCTCCCCGGCGACGTGATCCTCCGCGTCAACGGCATCCCCCTCAAGGGGCTCTCGCATCAGGTTGGGACACACGCGTCGAGACGACACGGAGGAGACACGGGGACAGCGAGATGCCGAGACACGGGGACAGCGAGATGCCGAGACACGAGGACAGGGAGAGCTGAGACACGGGGACAGGGAGATGCCGAGACACGGGGACAGGGAGATGCCGAGACACGGGGACAGGGAGATGCCGAGATACGGGGACAGGGAGATGCAGAGACACGGGGACAGGGAGAGCTGAGACACGGGGACAGGGAGAGCTGAGACACGGGGACAGTGAGAGCTGAGACATGGGGACAGGGACATGCCGAGACACAGGGATAGGGAGATGCCGAGACACGGGGACAGGGAGAGCCGAGACACGGGGACAGGGAGAGCTGAGACATGGGGACAGGGACATGCCGAGACACGGGGACAGGGAGAGCTGAAACATGGGGACAGGGACATGATGAGACACGGGGACAGGGAGAGCTGAAACATGGGGACAGGGAGAGCTGAGACATGGGGACAGGGAGATGCCGAGACATGAGGACAGGGAGAGCTGAGACACGGGGGGACAGGGAGACCTGAGACATGGAACAGGGACATGCCAAGATACGAGGACAGGGAGAGCTGAGACATGGGGACAGGGAGATGCCGAGACACGGAGATAGGGAGAGCTGAGACACAGGGACAGGGAGAGCCGAGACACAGGGACAGGGAGAGCCGAGACACAGGGACAGGGAGAGCCGAGACACGGGGACAGGGAGACATGGTGTAGGTCCCAAATTGTGGAACTGCCCTTGTGTGCCCCTATGGGTGAACCGCACATGTATGTGTGTACGTTGAACCTATTTCGCACCGTACGTAGCCGTCCGCACTAATCGGAGGTGCGGGGGAAGGAAAAACTAAACACAAAAAGCAGTTATAATCAATGTAGATTTAAATGTGCATAGCTCCCAGTGGAGAATCTAGGACCGCGATGGCATGCGTGTGTGTGTGTGTGACGGGGGGTCCTCGCGTGCGCGACGACGCTGCAGGCGGTGCTGTCCGTGCTGCGAGGAACAAGCGACGATGTCTCCCTGCTGCTGTGCCGCCCGGAGCCGAGTGCCCTCCCTGAAGTCGACCCATCGCTCATGGTCAGCTACAGCCGTGGCCCAAAACGATGGGCCGGCCATATAGTAACCCATAGAGACACTTAGAGACCCATAGAGATGCATAGAGACCTATGGATATACATAGAGACCCAAAGAGATATTTCGAGACTCATAGCGATACATAGAGACCCTTAGAAAAACACAGAGATATATTAAAGACAACCCACAGTAGTGCAATTGTGGCCATGTAATCTCAACTGTGAACCACATAGTAAACCACTGTAGTCTGCGCTCCTTCAACGGAGGAGGAATAGCAAATCTACACGAACTCTCTCTCCTAAAGCCCTCTTGTCGTGGCCAGCAGATCAGCAGACCTCGACGTTGCTCCTGAGCACATTAAACACATCATCCCGGCCCTTGGACTTGCGTAACTAAAAATAATGTAAACTCGCATTCCTCCAACTTAAAACAATTGCATGAGCAACAATCTCCATTCCAAGTGCAACTGTTGGCCATGGGTTAAAAATATGCAAGCATATTCCACTATAAGAATGCATCTTTAGTTTTTTGATGCAGCTGAAAAAGCTGATTAAATATCATCACAACGATATACTTTAAATGAGCACGTTTCTATTTTCACAATACCTGTAGACATCAGAAAAGTACGTTAAAATGTCACGTTGTTGAATCTTAATCAACATAAGCCTTGATGTTTCCTTTAAGCACCACCAAATTATTATTGCAGTTGCCTCTTTAAGAACCCTTAAGGACACGTTGAAGAGAAACAACAAAATAACAAAATATATATAAAACAATAAAAAAAATTCTCACGACGTTTCGACCATAACTCAAACGGTCATCATCAGGTGTGTCGGTTTGCATAAATTTATTTTGAAAACGGCATGTTTATTTATTTATATATATATATAAATAACAAAATATATATAAAACAATAAAAAATTCTCACGACGTTTCGACCATAACTCAAACGGTCATCATCAGGTGTGTCGGTTTGCATAAATTTATTTCGAAAGCGGCATGTTTATTTATTTATATATATTATATATATTTATATATATAAATATATATATAAATATATAAATAAATAAGCATGCCGTTTTCAAAATAAATTTATGCAAACCGACACACCTGATGATGACCGTTTGAGTTATGGTTGAAACGTCGTGAGAATTTTTTATTGTTTTATATATATTTTGTTGTTTCTCTTCAACGTGACTTTACCGAAAAAACTAAGAATATGAATTACTGCAGTCACGAAAGCTTTAAATCAAAATTTAACCCTTAAGGAGTTAACATGCACGGCGCTATTAACGGTGAGATCCTAGTTCAGTTCCCAACCATGATTAACATCACTGGCCTTGTCAGAACTGAATCAGTCCTGGATTCTCTCCCCTTTCACCAACTCACACTGAGCAGTGTGATGAAGTATGGTCAAACAATCTTCATCACCAACGCAGCATGGAGAGGCCATCATCCAGCAGTGGACTGACAAATCCTAGTTAATCATATTAGTTATTTGGGCACACTTTGTACGCATAATTTTTTGCACAAAACTACCGAGGTTACGACAAACGTGTAACGCGCGTGCCTTTTTGGACGCGTGCCGCCTTTTTGCTTAAATTTGTTTTTTTCCTTTTCCCAGAGCCCCATCGGTTCCCCGGTGAAGGATCTGAGCCGAATGAACACTCCGGCGCCCCGCCAGACGGGCAGCACGCCCACACCCCACCCCAGCCTCGCCACGTGCGGCCCCTACGAGATCGAAGAGTCGGCGGTGGCGCACGGCCACTGGGACGGCGAGGGCCTGGACGGGAGCGGGAGCGCCGCCCGCACGCCCACGCGCAGGGACAGCTACAGCGACAGCACCGAGTACGATTCCGACGGCGGTGGCGCTGCTGCCGCCGCCAGGGAAAAGGGCGCCAAGCGGCATCCAGCTGGGCACTCTGGGTAAGAACGTCACAGTGCACGCTGGGATAGGAGCGGCTGATTCACTGATCCAGAACGGCCATCGTCGTCACCTTCCTCGTCACCTTCCTCGTCACCTTCCTTGTCACCTGCCTCGTGACCTGTCTCCTAAAGCCAGTGATGGATCTGCACGTGAGCTGGTTTCATCGCTCCAGCTCGGTGGTTGACGTAACTCTGGGGCGCGTTCCTCCCATGGTTTGTCACTCCGTCATGATTCTTGGCCATCGCCCATCTTCCCTTCTTGCCACGATGTTATCCTGTCCAAGCCAACTTACTTTTCGGATAGTGATCCTCAGTGCACACTGGGTAAGGACTGACTAAAAATCACCGAATCCTGCGTGGCATGCTGGCTAAGGGCCTTTATTGCATACTGGGTAACGAGTGGCTGAAGAGTCGGGTGCGCAGGTAGCGTCGGATCAGATGGTGGCTGACATCTAAATGTTTTGCCAGTAGAGGGCAGTGGTGGAGCAGACTTGGAAAGTAACAAAGCGCAATGTCGCCTGCAGTTACCAAAGTTACGTTTTTATGCTAAGGTATGTGCTATTGAATTTGTCCTTTGGTGAAATGAATTCCGTCGTTTTTGTCAGAATATCAATCAGTGTGTAGTTGTGCTCGAATCATTTGACCATCGCCGCACCTTCCTTTGACACTGATCTCCCTTGCGTATGTGTTTTGTTAATTGCTGTATTCTCAAACCTGGAATATTTTTGCGTGTGACTTGTACGCATTCGGTACATTTAGTCACTCTTAAGCTATATCCTATAAACATTTGAAACGCATACATTCAGTACACCGCGTCATCAGCCAATGTTTCTCCACTGCTGAGTAAAAGTCTTCCCACGGCTTCACCTTGGCCCATTTTTCTCTGAAATACCACGCTCCATATCGCTCCCGCATATAAACTGATCTCGTCGCTCCATCTCTCCGGTAGTCATCCTCTTGGGCACGTTCTCTGCTTGAGCTGCCACTACTTCACCGATCTCCGCCATCGGCCATCATCCCTCCTAACGATTGTGGCCTCTGCCCAGACCCACTGATCCGCACGATGTCTGAGACATGCGTTTTTTTACGCTCTTCTTCTCTCTCCTAGTTAAAGCCCATGCACATACACTGTACATATTTGTACCCATTTATACTCATGTATTAATCCACTGTTGGATAAAGGCCTCCCAACGCTGGTTAGGGTGGGTTGGTGAAGGAGGCAGGGAGGTTCCCAGGACTGGCTCAGGCTTCACTCTCTACTGATCTTGGCCGTGACCGGGAATTTAACTCGCCTGTCCGTTACCAGGCTTCGTCACCCAAAACGCTCAAGCACTGTGCGATCTCTCTCCATATGCTATACGTTTAATGTACAAACAATATTGTTTCCCTATCTCAACCCCTCCAAGGTCTTCGTTCACACTGCCCACACCATCCCCCGGCTTCCGGTATCTCCCCGAGGTGCCCTCGCCGACGCCCCTCGACCAGGCCTACCTCAGCTCCAGCGAGGCCTCGCTCACCCCTCCTCCGCCACCGCGCGACACCAACGTGGACCGCTCCGAGCCGCCCTCGCTCTACCAGTCCATTGCCGAGGCTGCGGAGGAGCGCACCACTCCCTGGGAGGGGGAGGACGGCGCCCCGCCGCCCAGCGAAGGAGCGGGCGTCGCGGAGCTCGACGCGGGCAGGGAGGCCGGGCCGTGGGTCGATGTCGACGACGAGGACGAGTGCGATGAAGAGTTTGAGGAGTACGCCCCGGTAGGTTTCTACGCAGGTTTTTGATGGAGACAATTAGAGCCCTTTCTCGTTTCCGAGACGTCTGCAAGTTGCAGGGTGGGTGTCCCGTTCACCGTCGAATCTCGGAACGCGCAAACGGTTAGCGTTCATTTTACTTAGAGAGGCGTAAGCGCCGTTGTTTTTAAGGACATCGTACTCACCGCAGAGAACCGTAGCAACACGACCGCTGCACTCTATGATAGCTGGCGTCAAGCTGTGCCACACGCCCTCCCCGCATGGCCTTGTGGGAGCCTCGGTACCGAAGAATTTTGTTGATTACATTTTTTTCTTCCGGTTCTGCGACATAATCTGAAGAAAAACCGATGACGTACACGTGCCTCGTCGGAATGCGAAAGCCTTAATTAAACGTTGCACTACTTGACGTCTGGATGCAGTGACGGACACGACCTGCGTAGCCGTGCAGCTGCCGCAGGTGCGGCCGCGAGTTTGACGGTCACGCCGAAGTGTTTTTTTTCACCCTACCGCGATGTCCTCCTCACGCGACGCTCGCGCCGACGGTTTTGCCGCCGCCGCCCTCACCGCGCGCTCGCGGTCCCCGGCAGGAGGTGGAGGTGGAGCTGACGCTCGAGAAGGGGCCCGGCGAGGGGCTCGGCTTCACCGTGACGAGGGGCACCGAGGATGGCGCCGCTTACATCCGCGAGGTGGTGGAGGGGCCGGCGCTGCGTGACGGGAGGCTGCGGGCCGGCGACCGCCTCATCGCCGTGAGCTACGCGACTCGCCGCACGCACGGCACGCCCGTGGCTCGTCCCGCGGCGAGTGTTGTCGTTAATGCATCATCATCATCATCGTCATCATCATCATCATCATCGTCATCATCATCGTCACGATCCATGGGCAGATAGCCCGTAGGTGTCCACTGCACATTTCGTCATTTGTTTCAACTTTCCTCTCTGTCGTGTGTCAAGCTGTTGTTGTCTATCCGAAATATGTGTCCAAATCGTGCCAGTTTTCTTCTCATCACTGCCTGCATCATCAGGCCTTCTACATTAATGTACATTAGAGAACTAAAAAGGCCTTTGTCAACCTCGCTGCTGGTCAAGGGGGTTGTTTGACCATGTTTATGCATAGGTTGGACTTCTTTCGCACTGTGCGTAGCCAACCCTGCTAACCGCAGATGCCACAATTGTCAGCGTGGATTAGTGAAAGAGGGGCGGTTGGTGGGAGGGCAGCAACACCCAGCACCGGTTTATATATCATTCACCGCTGAACCGAGAGTCGATGTCGGCTCAGCAGGTTCATGGTACAGTTGTGCTAGTCGCTGCCACCGCTCTCCATTGCCATGAGTATTTAACGGTAGGATTGGCAATTGGTGCCGCCCTTGCGGGCAGTGGGATCGCACGCCAGTGGGCCCGGTATTAACAAAGTTATCGGCTTCACCCCCGGGCAACGTCGAGCACGGGAGCGACGGGGCTGTGACGCGCCGCCACTCATCTGCGATGACTTCCGCCAGGTGAACGGAGTGGAGGTGGCCGAAATGACCTACCCCCGCGCGGTGGCCATGCTGCGCTCCACGCCCCAGTCGGTGACGCTCGTGGTCGGCAGGGCCCTGAAGAACCTGGGGGTGCCTCCGCCTGCACACACGCTGCCCACCATCGTCCTGCAGCCCAAGGAGAAGGGCGTGGCTGGTGCGCGAGACACACCCCCCCCCACCCCACCCACACCCCACGTGCGGCTCTGCTCGGCATCTGACGATCGTGATGAATGACAATTTGCGTAAATTTTGCATTCGCGCCGTTCCTGTAGCGCGGGTGCGTTGTATGTTTGCGTGTACGTGCGTTGAATTTCTTTCGCGTCCGTACGTACATAGCCAACCGTGGTCATCGGAGATGTGGAGAATATCGAGAAAGGTGCTGTCGCTGACAGGCAGTCGCCCGGTCGGGGCGACGTTGTTCCCTGATGTTTCCCAACAAAGTAATACGCGCGGGTCATTTTCTAAACTTTGCACTGTGACGCCGGTACACACGGCCCCACGATTTTTCGAAATGACGTCACGGGATCTTTCACATCCGCTGTGAAGCAGGCAGCGGCGTACATTTCTGGTTAATGCACCCACGGTATCAACCAGGGCGGCCGCCTGGCTCAAGCCGTGAACCTCTGCACCAAACGCCCTACCGCTGGGCCCATGTCATCGGCCCACGTTTAAAATAAAGACACGTGTTGGACTTGCGTTGCCTGTGCTATACAAGACGCGACTGTGGATCACTAGTGTCGTGTATAGTGCGCTGTGCTACGATCCCGCTAACCCGAGTTCGATTTCCACTCACGACCAACATCAGTGGCGAATATTTTAAGCAGTCCTGGGCCCCTCCTTGGCCGACTCAGCCTTAAATGAGTACCTGGTGCGGTGTGTAAACATCGGCACGTGACCACACCGCCCCCTTCGTGTGCCGTCCAGGTCTTCGTAGGTGCTACTCGCCAACAGCACTTGCCCCACGGGTCTGTTGAGGCTACACGGTGGGGGGGGGGGTTTCTCTATCTTTGTGTGTAGGTCTGAGCCTGTGCGGGGGCATCGGCAGCCCGCACCAGGCGGTGCTCGTGGGCGGCGTGGACGCCGGCTCGGCCGCTGCCTCCGAGGGCAGCCTGGCGCCTGGCGACCGCGTGCATTACGTCAACGGGGTCAGCGTGCTCGGCATGACGCTGGCCGAGGCGCAGCACACCATCTCGAGCGCCGACGGAGAGATTCTCGTCAAAGCCACCAGGTGACGGGTGCGCGCGCGCGTTTCTCGCCGAGCTGCATTGCCTTCCAGTTGCCGTACGAATACGTTGCGAGGTTGCGCTCGTTACACACAAAGCGCTTGCCACAAATGAAACACTGTGACCTTGCTGATCTCGTCAAGGGGCATAAGCCATCACGCGAACTCCGGTTGTCCTCACAGCGGCGGCTTTTGATGAGCCATCGAACAAAGACGGTGGTCACTGCGTTGCGCGCTTTCAGATGCGCTTCTACGGCCATCTGGAACACTCTTCCTTCCGATATTAGGAAACCACTCGAGCTAAAGCTATATTGAAAATGAATTTCTTTAGAACCACTTTTAGTGATTAGTTTGTCCTTCCTCGGCACCTCCGATTCGCGCAGTTGGCCACGCACTGTTTGAAGAAGTTCAACATATATGGCCGTTTCCACTACTGGTGAACAAACTAAGCAAAACGTCAAAGGAAATGCACACTGCACGGGCAGTCTCACACACCAATGATAATAATTAGAAGTTCTCAGAGCGAGCGAAATGTCGGACATCATGCCAAGCATCACATGGTACAATCTCAAACCACATTGAAGAGCTATACAGCACAACTGCTTAAACGTTTTTTAATGTTTACATTTTCCATTATTAGTAAACGGAATGTTTTTTTTTTCATCATTGTTGATAGTCCAATTTGCAGATGTAACGAAACGCATCAAAGTATTTTACAATAATTGAACCGTTGCTTCCTTTTTCTTGGATGGTGTTAACAAGAGAGTGTGGTTGGTGCGTTTGTTTTCGGGTGCTTTGCATTGGACGAGCAGAGATGGTCAACCCGTGGTCCCCATCAAAGCCACGCCCCGCAGGGAGCAGATACCTAACGGAAGCACGGATCTAATGGCAGAAGACCCTGAAAACAGCCGATCAGATCAAGGTCTGGAACTTAATTTATCACATTTTACTTTTGTATTCCCTCCCTGTTTTTTTGAAATCCGGACAAGCCGCTATATTTAATTATTTTACACAATCCGCACAATTAGGTGGATTTTTAAGTAGCGGTTGCAGTATTCGTTAATGGTGTAGAAGTGCCCAATTAAATTGGCTATTGTGTATGTACGCTGACCCCGGTGTAACAGGTTTGATTTGGCTGTGACCTCATTCTGATGAACCAGATGCGGCTTCACTGCTTTGCGATTTAACGTTTTGTTGTGTGTACGTGCATTCCCAGTTACAGTGTATGTCATGCCGCAAACTCATTGTAATCTGTTCTAGGTGTGGCAGAAGTCATTGCAGTTTCTGCTGTCATACGATACCGTGTCGCGTCCTTGCCACAGTCTTTATAAAGCAAGCAGCTTGTGCTCTAGGAATAGAAACGCGAGGCATCTGCAGAAATTCTCTTTGACAAAGGACAAATTAATCCAACTGTTACATGTCTGACAAATCACCCCATAATTGAGTCCTCTGCTCTGAAATCTGATCTTGGTGGTTGGGCATTTATGAGTTTGGTGTTGAGCGATGCATGATATTGTTAATTGAGGATGAGCTGCAAGGGTAGGATTGGGGTTGGAACCTAATTCAGCATTAATGAGTGGCTCATTTTCACTGCTGTTTTAACATCTGTGGACTAATGCAGATCATGGAGGATGATGATGAAGATAATGATGTTTGACGGTGCTCAGGATGTTGTCATCTTCATGATTGGCACCTTCTCTTAGTCACAGCTGACGCCACAGTTGCCAGTGCACTACACTCATAATGGCAATCAGACTTGATCTACCCACTGCTAGCCTGCCCAAGCTCTCATCACTCTTTGTTGTCCATCATCATCATCATCACTGTTCAACTAATATACCGTGCCTCCCATGCAGTACGTCTTGAGGGGCCAAGACAGATTGTGTCATCGAGATATCGGCAGGTAGAATACTCCTCATCTTAAAATTAGCTTATCCGTGAAGCGTTCACCTGCTTGGTCACATGTAAGAATATCATCCTCATTTAATTCCTTGTGTTCGTTAATTTATATGTTAAGCACTTGTGAAGTAAACAAAAAAATACATGGGTTGGGCTTCAAACAAAAGTTCTGCTACAAAAGGTTTGTTGTGCAGATATGGAGTAAATTGAAATAATAATAAAAAAAATTGTTCCTGTTTGATGTTTAAATTTTCAATCTACGGTATATGCCATACTTCACGTACGTTTATATTATCATGCGTAATTATAATCTGATTTATTTATAAGCGGCCGCCTTGTGCAATGCTTTGGGGTATCGTATTTGTCTTTTTATTTTTTTTAATCTATCGTGTTTGTTAGTTAACTTCGAAAGCTGACATTTAACGCATTCAATGGGAAGCCCCGTATCAAAACGCCAGTTAATGAGTAGCCGACTCAATCTTGGCATGGGTAGCGCTTTAAGTGCGTGGGCTGGGGCCTTGGCGACGAGCCCTCCTCAAAGTCTCAATCAGTGGGAACCAAAGTTCATTTATTCTGGCTCATTGAATCGAAACTCCATTCTAGGGAACCAGGAGACCAGTTTTTGCGAGCCACTTTTTTATCGTCTTCTCAATTTTATTACTATTGTGCCTGTTGGCCTCCGTTTCCTGAGATGAAGCAGAAAGGCAAAGGTGCAGCCCTGCTGCGCCACTTTACAACAACAAAAGAGAAACGTAACGTTTGTTCGCCCAGCCACGTCGAGAGAAGAGCACGCCACTTTTGTCATTAAGTTTAGAATATTCGGGTACATGGCAACGGCTAGGCCAACGGATTTCAATTACGCAATTGCTTTGCCCTTTCCTTTCAGATTAGCAATTCATGCCTCCTCGAGAGTGTTTCATGGTTTTGCTGGATTTGGTAGGTAGAGATGCTTAGTATTTATTAAATTTCCCTTTCAAGTTAAAATGTGCGTGCAGATTCGATACATTTGAGAGAAAAAAAACCCCACAAAAACAGACGCTTTAAACGGCTGCGGTCTGTGGGGATGTAAAAAAATTAAATGCAATTCGTTTTCGATTGGCTGGGATAAGGCCATAGCCCCCCCCCCACTCCTCTGCTTCCACACTTCTGCGGGGGAGCTGAATGACGGCTTGGCAGACGAATTTATTATTTTGTTGCCCGCAGTGCCGCTGTGGCATTGCCTCACGTTGGAGGCCCTACGGCATTATCTACGTTACCATTGCCTCACATTGGAGGCCCACGGCATTATCTACGTTACCATTGCCTCACATTGGAGGCCCTACGGCATTATCTACGTTACCATTGCCTCACATTGGAGGCCCTACGGCATTATCTACGTTACCATTGCCTCACATTGGAGGCCCTACGGCATTATCTACGTTACCATTGCCTCACATTGGAGGCCCTACGGCATTATCTACGTTACCATTGCCTCACATAGGAGGCCCACGGCATTATCTACGTTACCATTGCCTCACATTGGAGGCCCCACGGCATTATCTACATTACCATTGCCCGTGCCAACACGTAGTGTCGTCACTAACCATGGTCAGCCCCGCTGTTGGATGAAGGGCCTGCCCAAGCGCTCGCAATTTCTCACGGTCCTGCGATGTAACGCTCTACCTCGTACCTGCGCACGAGCTGATTTCATCACTCCATCTCTCCGCGGCGGCCATCTTTCAAAGATACATTCCCTCCACTGCCTGCTTCGCCTCGGTTAACATCAGTGGCGAGTGATATAAGGACCGGTGGTTCAACTTCCCACCCCCTTTATCAATCAACCCACACTTGACGCAACGCAGTGACGTATGAGCATGCTTCGCCACGTACGGTGCGAAAGAAGTTCAACATCCATGACCGACATGGCGCGAGGAAGCCCTCATGCATTGGTAGATGTAGGAAAATGGCTGGAATAAACAAAGTTGGATTTTTTCATTTATTTTATGCCGCCACTACTGACGGTCAGGAGATGCTGGGTCGACACCCCCTCATGCCCCCCCCCCCGCCCCCTCGTTATGACGCGGTGGGGCGCTGCAACGATTGGTAATGCCGACCTTCGGTCTGGAGAAGCTGTTGCGTGCCCGCCAGGCTTCGTGGACAGATTTGCTCCATTTGCAGTGAGTAATACATCCCCCACGTGAGATGATGAAAAAAAAATAAGAAAAAAAGAAGCCTTTAGAAATCGTCGTGCCTCGCCGCTCCGCTGCCGATTACCGCACGAGAACGTGCACGAGTGCGCGTCACGATAATAAATAAAAAATGCGCCAAATAAGCGAGTAAATAAATAGAGGCGGGAAATAAATAAATAACCCCGCTCGTGTCCCCCCCCCCCCCCCCGTTGAGGCTATATGAAGGATCGTTCCTTTACGCGCTTCCTCTGCTCGGCTGAACACGTCCGGCTTGCCGCGCGAGAGACGCAGCCACGAGCGAGCGAGCGAGCGAGCCGACTAATCGGTGGCGGCGCGCAGGCACGTTTAGCCGGGCGTCGCTAGCGCCGCCGCCGCCAACGCCGGCGGCCGTGCGATGGCGCCGCTTGCGCGTGCCGGGCCAGGACAGGGGTCAGTCCCGATTAGCGGCGCACGAGAGGTGAGGGGAGAAATGCTTTGGACCGTTGAGTTGGCCAAATTCGGCCCCCCGTTGTGTTCACGTGAAGCTCACTCGAAGAGGCTTCGGGCGCCTCCGGACGCCGGCGGTCGTTGCGGTCGCCAGAGACGCATCGAGGGGGAACGAGAAGTTCGGATGCTCGTTCCCCGTTCGTGCCACGTCGCTTTGTGTGTTTTCCAAACATATCCTGCACGTGGCTCTTATTCAAGAAGTGCTATTGGAATATGCATACAGGGAGGTTAATTTTAATACTCAATGCATTTGAGCCCATGAGTACTTATTCAACACGTTATGTTTGACTTATCACCGTGACGTTTTGGAAATGTTCCACCAAATGTCTGGGGTGCCCTGTTAAGCAATCTTAAATCATTTTTTACCGTATTTCCACAGGGATCATTTATAGGCACACATTGTAACATGCGCGGTTTTAGTGGATCGTAAAGCATGGGCCTAAGCGTGTCTCCTCGTCCTGTCGAGTTATGATGTCATTTCGATGCTCGTGTCGTCAAATACCCACAGGGGTGGTTGGATTTCTTGTGTTTCCAGACGTGACATCAGAAAATGGTGTCACCGATGAAGAGGAGCAGCATAATGATACGGACAGTTCTGAGGTCAGTCTTTTTTTAATGAATGCGAGACGATACCGTTAATATGTTGGGGAATATTTGGTACGTTTTATATTTATTAATTGAGGTGGCACGATGGCACAGTGGTTAGCGTTTTGTGCGATGAACCTGGCAAACCTGAGTTCGATTCCCAGCCACAAATAACAATGGTGACAAGTAATAGCTTGAACCAGGCGTGGTCCCCCCTACCCCTTAACCAGCCCGCACTGACCAGCCTAGTGAAGTATGGTCACACAACCCCCACGATCTGACACGCCCATGGGGAGGCCTTCATCCAGCAGTGGATTGGCAGGGCTGTCAGTTGGGATTAATTATTACTGTAACTTACCAATGACGAAAAACAAAAGCCATCGGCGTGCACGGCTGTCCACGCATTTCCCCCTGAATGGAAATGACTAAGCATTCCTGCACACGGATCCACGCCTGCTGAACAGAGAGTGCTCTCCGCATTGATCTCCGGATGAATGATGCCTTGGGCCGAAGCGGGCAGCGCTGCCCTCCTATGTGCAGAGCTGTCCTGTCAGGTGGCCAATGAAACATTCATGGAAGTCCTGACGAGCGCAGACATGGCCGGGCATCAACTGATTGTTTTTTTTTTTACGAGAGCCTCATGGCTTGGTGCCCCCCTGAAATGGTTTCGACCAACCGAGTTCCACAATTGGGCAATTATATATATACATATACACCCGTAAAAACAAGAGGCTCATTTTCACATCTGGGACAAACGTGTTGGATCGTCGGTGAATTTGAAGACACTTAAGGAGAGCCCGCGCGGTGTTCACGCAGGGCGGCGCGATCAGCATCGAGTTGGAGAAACCCGTGGGCGGAGGTCTCGGATTTTCGGTGGTGGGCGGCGATGAAGGTCTGCCGGTTCTGGTGAAAACCGTCTGCGTGGGTGGAGTGGCTGCACTCGACAACCGGCTGAGAATTGGCGACACGTTGCTAGAGGTGAGCGCCCCTGCGCGCGTGGCACGACGGGTCCTTGTACATTGATCTCCGGCTGTTGATTCGCATAATATCATTTCTCTTTTACTGAACGCGGCAAGTGAAAAGGTCAAAACGTTGCAGCGTAACGTTCGTCTCTTCGTAATGCGAGAATGAGATTTCATTTGCAAAGGTTATGTAAAGTGCATATGATACACCGAGCGATACATAGAGGGGGAGTTATGAGTTGCTTTGAAGATAAATTGAGTAATTAATACTTGCTCTGATAGTGAGTACTATATGATAGATAAAAATATGAAGTAATTGTGGTATCTGTCAAAGACTAACATACGCGTTGATACGAAAGTACTGACAGTCGAGAGCCAATTTCGTTATCTTTCCGAGACAGACTGTGCACTTGGGTTATTTGAATGTCATTTACACTATTTTATGAAAATGATTCCAGATTGAACTCCCGAACAAATTACACGCCCACGGCTAACATCGCCACGTATGCAGCGGGCAATATTTCACAGGCGGCAAAGATTGAAGGGAAATAAAAAAAGCTTTTCAACGTACAGGACGAGAATCATAAGGGCCGATGATAAACGGATCCGCTGCTCTTGAGTGCAGATAAACACGGGCAGATTGAATGACGCATCACACTGCTGGTACGATGTAGATAATATCACGAGCGGTTATTTTGACAGCCGCGCGCCGGACGTAACCCTGAGCAGTGACGGCGATTGACGCCGCTGCCGTTGCCGTTTGCTCTCGCGCCGTTGCAGATAAACGGGGAGCGGGTTGGCAGCATGTCGCACGGGCGAGTGGTGGAGATGCTGCGCAAGGCCCACGGCTGGGTGAGGCTGCTGGTGGCCCGGCCGCCGCCACCGAGCAGAAGTCCATCGGAGGCGCCCGCTGAAAGCCGAGCGCCAGCGCCGCCCGTCGCCGAGCGCTACGGGCAGGACTCGCTCGACCTCGACGAGCAGGGCTCCGAGCTGCTGCCCACCGACTTGGCAGAGGTGAGACAGACGGGGACATTTTTTTGATACGATTGGCGTTCTAATCAGTCCTCAATTCTGTGATTCCGCATGGAAATTAAACGTTTCGTTCTGTTGGCCTATTGGTAGGACCAGTAGTAACGGGTGCCATGGTGGAAAGATGTTAACTACCTTACTTGATATACAGAAGGTCGTGGGTTCAATCCCGATCCTGACACCTGTTGTATATTTGGAAGTTGCATGTTCTCCCCCTGGTTGTGTGGATTTTTTTCCGGGTCCTCCGGGTTTTCACTCCACATTTAGAATCAACATGTATTTGGCTGCTATACATTTCCACGTGATAAGCCACTTTTATGCGCTAGAATTTGTAGCCAGGTCGCTTCTGGGCCTTGCCTGGTAAACTAAAAAATCGTTTAGTTTAAGAGAAGAGATTATCCAGTCGCATTTGTATGTAAGTATGTTGAACTTCTTTCGCAGCGTACACAGCCAATCGTGCTAATCGGAGTAAACAAATTCTGACCTGGTTTTGACCTTTTGGTTTTCATCAGCATAGTCAGGCTTGGCAAAAAAACATATGCTCTTAAAAAGTTAACTTGTTTTGTACCCCAATAGTAGAGTTTTTACTAGGAAAGGGTATGGAAATTAATGCTAAAGAAGTTCAGCAATTTCTTATGTAATAATTTAGACCTAAAACCACCACACTCAAGCATATTGTATGTATGTGCTCTATGCAGCGGACATGCTTTGAGTACAATGGGGCTTCGTTTAGTTGTGAGAACGAGAGACGAATAGAGTTACAGACTGAATTTTGAAGCCCTGTGTATATGTACTATTCGTAATCAAATAATTGCATGGTGATCAAATCCATAATAAAGGTGTTTGGGTTAGATCCCGTTATTTATAAATGTGCCGTAACCCTCCACCACCCGACACGGCCAATCAGCAAAAAAGTGTCACGTTGACAAAAGACAAATAGTTCACTACTTTCGCCCACCGGTGTATTGAAGAGTGAATCCAAAACATTTACAGTTTGAATACGACGTTTCGCTGGTAATTACATCCAGCTTCATCGGGCAAATTCGCCAGAATGGTGAAGCCCTCCACTTGCTCCCGGTCTTAAATAGAGCAGCAGCAGGGTGATCAAATGTTACCGAATCATAATATACCAGTGCGTGTGCCTAATTGTTACATTTGCATTGTCAATGCGACTTGACTGTTGCTGTTATACTTTTGTTTAATGAATAGTTACCATTTAAAGTGTAATATTTATCACTGTAGAGTGTCCACTTTTGTTGGCTCATGCGTATATACGTACCGTATTCTCCCAATTATACGATGCACACCCCAACTTCTTTAAAATACGGGGGGGCAGGTTGGGGGCAGCGCATCTTATTTATTATCCCGGCAATATGGTGAGCAGCTTAATGTGAGAGTTTTCTTTCCGTAGGTTTCCATGCAGAATGGCCACTCCCAGTCGAGCAGTATTGTCCCAGAGCCTGCTGGGAATTCAACGTGTGACGAGCTGGACCCCGAGGAAGATTCAATTTCACTGCACAATAGGTTGGTGCCCTTCTCTGAAGCAACGATTTTGCACTCACAAAGACGAGCGAAGACTACCCTCCAATGTCGACTCGTTAACGCCGACTTAGCACACGAGGCAGTGTTATGGTCCGCGTGACCCCCTTTCTTTGGTTTCATGGGCCATAGCCATAATTGTCCACAACAGCACATAACGACTTTTTAAAAACATTTTCCCCCCCCACCCCCCACGCTGTCACAAAGGTTTGGGTTCGGGGGCAGGGGATATGAAGTGGAAGGGGCTAAGTGCACGCAGTGGCATGGCTGATGGAACCGGAGGGAGGGAGGGAGGGTGGGAGGGAGGGAGGGAGTCCACACCTTGTGAGCTGCTGATCTTGGGCCAGAATTGAAACCAAACAGAGCTGGCACAGCCTGGGTCCTAGTGCTCATGGAAACGTGGCATCAGTGTTGATTGACACATCTTTGGGATGGGTTGACCTCGCAGGCACCAGAATAAGGTTCAGATGGCAACTGCCACTGGCATAGTGCATGGCGAGAAATTCAACCTGGATCACAGAGATCCCAGGGCATTTTGCCAAAGTTTGAGCATTGATCACACACACTCTCTTATGCATACCTATAACTGCCTACATATATTCATTTGATTTTGCAATGTATTCACAACAAAGAAACTCAGGTCAAAAATAAAGTTACGACGGTTCTTCTAAGCTCTATTTTAACAAAGTGTTCCACAAGCGTAGTTTCACGAAACATAACGTATGCTCCTTGAAAATCTTGTGCAATTTATTGGTTTAATTAAAGCATCTATTCTTTTTTTCGTTATATAGCAAGGAACATTTAAATCATAATGGAGAGGAAGATAGTGACGACGACTACGGGAATGGCTGGGTGACCGAAGATGAGGATGAAGATGGGGAAGATGAAGAGGAAGACTTTGCTGGCAAGGAGGAGCCTGATGCAGATTCAACCCTGTCAGGTAGAGACTTCCGGTGATGTCATGGCCGAGTGAGCAGCGCTCAACGGACCGCTCAAATCCCGACTATAGAAAACAAACCTGCATGTCCAGTAGCTGGTTGTAATTACTGGCGAAACGTCGTAGTACTCAGATTGTAAATGTTGTGGCTTGGCTCTCCAACACACCGGTGTTGCTGTACTAGTGACGAATTGGCCACGTTTTGTTGACGTTGACAACCCTTACTAGTTGGCTGTGTAGGGTGCTGGCGGGTTTTAACGACACATTCATATATTTATGCGTTCTAACCCAAAAAACCTCTTATTATAAACATGGATGTCCGGTACGCCACGTTTTTTTGCCCTCTCTAGCCGATTTCTTTCTTGGCTTCAGGAGTTTTTTGTTTCTCGTTTTTTTGCCGGTCACGGCAGTTTATAAACCCTCCAGGCCTAGGGCCTGTTGTGCGCAGCTTGTGCCTGTTCCCGTTGCTTGGTTGGGGCACTTCTGCCCCGTAACCCTGTCAGCTAAACAGCGGCTCATACTCTCTCTCTCTCTGCACACACACAGGCTGAGCTTTATCACAATCAGAGTCATTATTTATCCCGGAGAAATCCGATGAGCTATGCAGCTCTTTTTCACAGATGGTCCAGCAGGAGGACTGGGTCATAAAGTAACAACAAACAATACAAAAAAAAGATAGGAGTGCAAAGTATAAGAAAGGTAATCAAGTCACAATAAATAATTTAAAGTGATAAAGTACATCAGTTGAAATTGTATAAGTACATCAATTCCTGCCGATTTTTCAACACTGAATGCAATCTTGGGGTAAGGCATCAAAAACAACAACAAAAACACACAGTCCCTGAATCACATTGCACATTAACATTGAACTATCAATACACGGGTGGTAAGGATCAAAATTACAAGTCACATTTGCAAACGTGGCTGTATCTTTACTTGACGATCACAGCCATCATCTATCCACTGCTGGATGAAAGCTTCCTCAGGTGGCAGTCACTCCTCGCACACTCCCGCGATGCAACCGTTGCATCCGGCATCGGCACGCTAGTTGGATTTCGTCGCTCCATCTCCGCAGCAGTAGACCGCCATTTATTGTGCGTGAGTGTCGACCACAGGCCATCGTCCCTCCTCGCAGTTTTACTCACAGAGGTCATTGTAAGAAAATCGGGTACCTCAGCTCAGTGGATTTTGGAGTGTCATAACTCCCATGATGCACCAACGTCACCTCTAAAGCCCCTGGATCGAAAGCATTAACCGCTAGTACTAAGACGAAATGGCTGCGCTCATATTTCAAATTCTGCAAATATTTCCAACTAACGTATGTTGTCGTAACTACTGTACTATTTATATATGTATTTATGTACTTCAGGATATTAGGCCTGGGCTGGAACAGTGGTGCAGTTGTTAGCACACTGCAGCATGAACCCGGCAACTTGTGTTTGATGCCCAGCCACGGCTGACACCGGTGGCGAGTGATATCTAAGCCTGTCCTGGGCCACGCCTCATTCACTAACCCACTGTGTAACACCCGATACTTGCACGGTGTGTGACAGCATTCATCCAGCAGTGGATTGACGAAGGGATTTAAATATTTGTGCTGTGGCTGTGAAGGCGTGTAAAACATTAAGTTATGTATTTTTTTTGTAAAACATTTAATTGGATGAAAATGAAGCCCAGAAGTAAATGACAATGATTTGAAGGCTATGTTGTGATGCGTATGGACACGTTGTGATTCCTTTTTCCACATCGCACATTGTTTAAAGAGGCCGTAATTGTTTCTTTGGGACCAGACATCGTGTCGGAAGAGGCGATAAATGCCCTCCCTCTGGCTGTGCCGCCACCGGACAGCATTTACACAGGGACCAAGCTGGAGGCTTTCATCAATAAATTGCAAGAGCACATCGCACAGCAAGGACCAGAGAAGGAGTTCCAGGCAAGTGGTCATTTTGCCGTTTTCCATCCATGATATGTGGCAACCCGCGAAAAAAATACACGCCAGTTTTCTCTCCGTCGCCGCGATGTGGTGGATGTTGCACGGATGGCGTTGTAACGATGCGGGGATTCTTCCATTGTTGTTTCTGCAGAGGCTGTGTAATCTGACCCCGCGGGACGGCTGCTTAGTGGCATCTGCTGTGGAGAATCGAGATCGGAACCGCTATCGGAATGTCCTCCCCTGTAAGAATTTGCATGACAATGACACCGCTGCACTCCCGCGTGCGGTGCTTGGCAGGAGAAATGAACGGAAGCAAGCAATTATTACGGGAGGGAAAAAAACATGAGAGTGTCGTTCTTTTAAAAAATAAAATTGTCTCCTTGTACAGTCGATATAAACATTTTTATTTATTTGTTTAGAATCGTAAATGCACCGTGACCAAAATCACCCTGAACGCACCTGAACTTAGCGGATCTTAGGAGCCGCACGGGGTTGAACCTGCTTGGCACGGTCATGAGAGACTACCTGCAAATTCCATACTTTGTAAGGTCTCGGGCTGTGAGAAGGACAGGAGATTGCAGCACAGCAGTCGATTCTTGAACCCAACTGTCCTGAGGTTTGAGTGTCACCTCCTCAGACACGTCGGCTTTCTCTGGGTGCTCTCGTTCGCCAAAATCTCTGAAATGGAATTGGCCACAAATTGGTTATTTGTGGCCAATCCGTAACATTAGTCTTGATACTCGGTAAAGCTTATGCATTGTTGTTATTACATGGTGATTATAATCGTAAGTCTTTCACCAGATCACGTGGAATGTGAATTAGTGCTTGGAAGAGGCGACCCACCAGGCTTAACCGGCGTTATAGGCTGTGGGCAGTGGCGGGCGGTGCAGCACAATCATTGTTGTACTGTACTTCAGTGCTCCCCTCCTTCACGGAACGTGCTCTCGGCAGCGTGGCGATGTGTGATTGAAGCAACCCCCACTATGCCCACTGCGAGCAGGCCCTCGTCCGGCTGTCGAGTGACAAAGGGCTGTATGTTTACAGTATATTTATGTGGAGTGTTAGCACAGTGATACAAGCGCATCATCGTATGGTGACCTCAGCCAAACTAAGCAAGGTCATCCTCTGCTGCTACTTCAGAATGCGCCCTCGTTGTTCACTGGCATTACAGTTGTCCATTCCTTTCCACGCTGCGAAATCACCATTATTTCAAGCAAATCCACAGAACGCATTTAATCTCGAGTCAAATTATTATTATTTTTTTTTAACCGCCAACCTCCGCTCCTCCGCAGTCGACGCGACGCGCGTTGCCCTGTCGGGCCGCGAGGACGACTACATCAACGCGAGCCACGTGGCGCTGCGTGCGGGCGACGCGGCGCTGGCGTACGTCGCTTGCCAGGGGCCCCTGCCGCACACGGCCGCCCACTTCTGGCAGATGGTGTGGGAGCAGCGGGCGCGCGTCCTCGCCATGCTCACTCTCGAGACGGAGCTGGGCCGGGCAAAGTGCCACCGCTACTGGCCCGAGTCGCGGTCGCGCGCCACGGAGGTGGGGCCCTACCGTCTGGTTCTGGAGCAGCAGCAGACGCTCAAGAGCTTCTGCATCCGCGTGATCATGATCACCAAATTGGAGGTTCGCCCGTCGTGTGGCTGCCCCCCCCCCCCCTTCTTTCCCTCTCCTTTGTTTTTGGATGTTGGGCTCCCCCGCCCGCCGCCACCCCTTGTATTTTCTGTGAGCGTGCGGTGCTCTCCGCCCCGCTAGCGCAGTCTTTTGTTACGTCGTGTTTAGCCACAAAGCAACAAACCAAATTTTAGTTTTTTTTTTCTCAGCACGCCACTTTAGCCTCGACCGTTGCAATGTGTAACCTCTGTGCGTGATATTTCAACGCATCGACGCTGCATGTGAGCACGGCTTTGTAAAAGCAGTTCTGATACAAGCAACGTATGCTACATTACACTGGTGGGGGAACGTACAGAGCAATTTCTGGTACAAGCACACTTTGGATATAAGCACACATATACTCGCTCACAACGGGGTGCGCTTACATCTACCGACATCCAGCTCATCTCATGCAGCAATAAATGAATAATTGGGCACGGCGCCGGCAAAAGCCCGGTCACCCCAGGAACCTTCGTGTCATCGAATTACGATCGGCACGGCATGGGAGGAGGCTTTCATCCAGCAGTGGCATCGCAACAAGGTGACGTTAATAACTTCTCGCTGCCCCCGCCCGCGACCCCCCGCCCCTGTCCAGACCGGCATTCGTCAGCGAGTGACCCAGCTCCAGTTCACGCAGTGGCCCGACCACGGCGCGCCGGCGTCGGCCGGACCCCTCGTGCGCTTCCTGCGCTTTGCGCGGCGCCTGCAGCTCGCGCTCGCCTCCCAGCCCGATTCGCGCGGCTGTGACGACGCTCCATCTGCCACCGCCGGCGCCGCCGCCACCGGGCCAACGTCGGCCGGGCAGGGGCAGCGGCAGCAGGAGGACGAGGAGGAACCGGGGCCCCTGGTGACGCACTGCAGTGCCGGCGTGGGACGGTCCGGCGCGCTCATCTGCCTCGACGCGGTGCTGGCACACATAGACCACGGCCTCGAGGTGAGAGGGGGGGGGGGCGGTCGGCACGGTCGGCGCCACGGAGGATTCGCGGTGGCGAATGATCGCGTGAGGTCTCGCGATGAAGGTCGCCGGCCATGCGACTCCAGTTTTTATAATGTCAGCTGTGTGTGTGTGAGATGCGTGGTGAGTGAAGGTCATCAGTGTGCAACTTTTAGTGGAGTGTCTTCTGTTTTGTGTGTGTGTGTGGTAGTTTTGTTTTGCAATGGCAGAAACTTTTTTACTTCTGCTTATGAATTGCGGATTTGTTTACGTAACACATTGTCCTGAATTTGAATTACACATTTGTTTACATGTTTATATCCGTATGCAATTAGAAAACAATCTTTGGCATATTTCTTTGTACATTTTTGTTTAATATTTCACGTCTAATTATACGTGCAATATATTCCAATTCAATTTGATTTTCTTTTGGTCTGGCGTATGTTTTTTGAACATACAAAGTCTTTTTTATTTTTTACAACCTCATTATAAAACCTGTGCGAAATTGAGCATCGTTTAAAACTGCCACTGTTATTGGCGGCTCCTCGCGAAGCAATTTAAAGATCCTGTTGTTTGTTTATGTGCGCGCGTGCGCTGTCTGTTCCGTTGTTTTCCCTTCAGTTTAACATTGCCGACATTGTGAGAGAGATGAGGACCCAGCGCTATGGCATGGTGCAGACTCTGGTACGGCCAAGTTTCGCCGCTTCATCACTCGGAACTGCATTACGCACACAACCCCACTGACACCGCCGCGCGTTTACGAGCCAAACTTGAACCTCGGCGAACCGTCACGAATGCGTGCGTGTGTGTGCGCGCGCGTGTGCGTGTGCCTGCCCCCCTTTGTTGTTGCAGGAGCAGTACATCTTCTGCTACAAAGCAGCGCTGGAGACGCTACAGTATTTGAAACAGAGGGAGGAAGGTTTGAGCTAGTGGCATTATAGCCAGCGGGCCTCCATTGCAGAAGCAGCGACGTGTGAGAGCACTGTATCATACTTGGCTCCCTTGGCTCCCCACGAAGAATACATGAATGCATTTTAGCTTCCGCTTACTGGAAAGTTCATCGTTCGTCTGCCTTCGTCTGCCAGTCTACCTGACTATAAAAATAAAAACATTCAAAGTATTAATCTTATATTTTTGTGGTGAGGTTAAAGCTACTGATTGCGTACAACGCTCCTCCACACATGTATATATAGAACATATCAAAATAATCCATACTGTAGTTTTATGATAATGATTGGACAACGTTACCGTTAGTCTTATGAGACGTAAAATCATACACAAATGTAATTTACTCTGCTCTTATAAAGAAAATGACCAAACTCATCTTTGAATCATGCTTTTGTAACAAATTACAAATTCAAACGATGTCTGACAATGTACAAAATGACTTTTACCTGGAAAATATTTTTTAAATCTTTTTTTTTCCCGTGTGACTTGATAGTTGATACTATTAAACACGATTTATTTGTGTTGGTGACTTCTTTTTTTATTATAATACACACGAGGCATTCCTTGCGAACCCCCAGTCAGCCCCTGTGTGTTTCACAGGGTGATTCATTTATAGATACCCCGTTATTATTTTGATCACTGTTGGCTACGTACAGCGTGAAAGAAGTTCAATGTACGTACATTTTCTGGTGAAACTCCTCAACGCTTTATTTCAATATTGCCCAAGCAAGTGGTTCCACATCTCATAGACGAGAATGTTCAACGTCTGTAATAAGTGTGTTGGGAGACGTGTAGGTGGTGCTTTTAAATAAAATGTTTTCTGTTACTTGAGTGGGGTATCTATACATGGATCGCATAGTGTTAATTTAAAGCCAGGAATTATTTTGTAGTCCACATGTTGTGAACAGAATGTTTGCATTGCAACCTATGGGACCACTTAATCTTAATCGTAACCAAAATGCAAGCAACCCTGCATCTTTATTGTTAAAAAGGATTTGTTCCATTATCTTAATTATACCACTCAGGAAGCAAGGGACGCTATCATGTAATTCTTCTATAAAGCATTTATTTTTGTAATCAACAAAGTATTGCTTGGAAACTAAATACAATGCCTTGGAAGTGAATGCCTCATTCACTGTGTGTGTGTGTCTACGTTGTGGAGGGGAGCGGTAGTTTAGAAAGCGCCCTGCGCAAACGAAGCCCTGCGTTTGAATCCCCGCCGTGGCTAACATTGGTGGTTTATTATCCAAACCGGTCCTGGGCCTTCTCTCTGATCGCCTTAGCCGATAACCCGGTGCGGTGTGTCAGCATCAGGCAATGCAATGGCAGCCGCCCGTGGTGCTGGCCACACTACCATCCCCCTTGTGTGCTGCGCATTACTGGCCTTCATATGTGCTAATGGCGCTTGCCCCAACAGCGTTTGTAGGCAATGCTGGATGAAAGGGGGGCGGGGGGCGAGATCTTTGCACTCTTCGTTATGGTAAAGCAACATTCTCAATATTTTGCAGCCTTTTATTCATCACTCATGGTTCATGGGATCTTTGTGTTGGTCAGCAGGTCTCGCGGTGAATTTGGCTGTGTTGACTGTATTTGTGGTAGAGCGATCGTGCTAAGCCGTTACTCTTGTTGTACAATCGTGTTCTATAAACGCGGTAGTAGATGCATTCCTAAAGAACACCGCGTTATGGAAAAATTGCGTTGTAATATTTCCATAATAAAGGTTTTTGGGTTAGATCACTACGTATAAATGTGTCGTAACCCTCCATCACCCGACAAACCCAAAACAAAACGCCAATTAGTTTACTACAAATCCTTTACTTATTGGCTGTGTCGGGTGGTGGAGGGTTACAACATTTATATTTACGTTTTTCTAACCCAAAAACCTTTATTATAAAAAATATTCGTCGCGAAAGCCTACGTGTTATAAATATATTATTAGGGTAAAGCACAGTCCGTGAGAACACGTGAGATGCGTACGCAGGCTGAACAAAGACTGAGGTGCGTGGGTAGCATCTGGAAGCATCCAGCAGCATCCCGCCTCATGTGATTCTACGCCGAGGCAGCCATACGGCCCCTTATTCCGTTCACTCAATCGCGTTACATCCGATTCGCATCCGCGTTTAAAAAAAAAAATGTGTTCCCCATACATTAATCGCGTTAAATCCAATTGGCGTGAAAACAACACGCGGCGTTATAGGGGAACGGATTGTATTGACGGCTGCGTTGCTTTTTGCTGTGCTGTTGTTTCCAGTGCACAGCGTTCTTATGTTATCCATGAGAATTTTTAGTAACGTGTAAATAAAAAAAATGTCTGCATATTCAACTCTAAATTCAATGTTATGTATGCTAATTAAAACATGTGCCTGTTATAGTGGTGTATACTCCAAATGACGGTTCACACATTTCATGATTCTAAATTCCTCTGACGTGATTTTTAAAATGTATATTTGAATTCAGGTGAATGTAACATGTCATTCATGTTCATGTATGCTATGTGTTCCTTTGTAACTTAAAATGTAAAGGTCTACATAGTGAGAAATACATGCAATGTGATTTGCGTGATGTTTAATATTTATAGATTTTTTTACTCATTTTAATTGTCACTATATTAAATACTATTCATTATAGCAGCGCTTAACTAAATGTAAGGGGTGGAGGTTAATATGGTTTGAGAACAAAAGACGAAGAGAAGTTGCTCCAATTGAATGCTATTTTTTTAAGCTCCAATTTTTCACATTCTTCACATTATGGTGTTTTGATAATTATCGGGCTGTATCTATTGGAATGAATATTCGTACAATAAGCATAGTGTGAAACCTTACAATGATGATTGTTCTCAAGACTTTGGGTTTAGTGAGCTACCTGCCTACAGCCTACACATCCATGATATAGGTTTTTTGGTTAGATCACGTAAATATAGGTGTGTCATTAAACCCACCACCACCCGACTCAGCCAATTAGTAAGGGTTTTCACGTTAACAGAACATGCCAAATAGTTACTAGTTCAGCACACCGGTGTGTTGGAGAGCAAATCCATAAAATGTACAATCTTGAGTACGACGTTTCGCCAGTAATTACACCAGCATAATCAGGTGACAGCCAGAGTTGTGGAGAAATCCTGTTTCAGTCTTAAATAGCAGGAAAAATGTGACGTCACTTGTTTGCCAATCATGTGTGAAGGCCAGAGGGTGGGAGGGGGGGATAATGTATGTATATAAATTACAATGTATAGCCATTACCGGTTGGGCTAACCTTACTAATTGGCTGTGTCGGCGGGCTTAACGACACGTATATTCACTCCAAAAAAACTGTTATGGATAATATTGGTCACGAACGCCTACTACGTGTTAAACGGGCATTTTTTTAAAAATAACTTGCAATCATGTTGTTTATTCGTCTGGGCTTCAGTGGTCTATCCTAAAAGCAAATGATAGACGTGTATGAAAAGAAAAGCCCTCTTTGTCATGAGCCTGCTTTTATTCTTAGACGTTCAATTTCACTATTCAAAGGCAAGTACGTGTCCCTATTATTTTTAAAATTAAAAGTTAAAAATTGACGTGTACATAATGTTTTATTACAAACATGTTATCGCATGTTTTACGATAGCAACTCAGATCTATATCGCTGAAAGCTCTCTTTGTTGTTGTAAATATTATTTTCACGTGGAAAATAAACAAAGAAGGTGTCACTCTCCTTCGTGCCTGTTTTTAATCACGCGCGCTTATTGGCTGCGCTCATTACGGGCATTTAACTCAAGTATATTGGCACATTAGTCCAATTGTGCGATATTAAAACGTGCGATATTAATAATTACAATCCGAGCGTTGTGTTGAGTCTGCATTATTGATTTTCTTTCCACACGAGGGCGATGGACTCTAGGTAATCTTCAGAGCGTACATGATCTTGTGCTTTTACGTGTTATACATGTATTTTTCTTGAAATGTATTTGTATGAATTAGTTTACACTTGGCCCACTCGCAGACGCAGAACATTAATTGCCAGTTGTGCGGCTGGGCTTTACCGTGTATGGCACAGAAGGCGGGTGCAGTGCACTCGACTATCCATAATAGAGGTTTTTGAGTTAGAGCGTGTAAATATATAAATGTGTCGTTAAACCCGCCACCACCCGACACAGCCAACTAGTAAGGGTTGTGTCACGTAAACAGAACGTGGCCAATTCGTCACTAGTACAGCACACCGGCGTGTTGGAGAGTAAACCCACAACATTTACATTTCAAGTACGACGTTTCGCCAGTAATTACAACCAGCAGCATCAGGCGACAGCCAGAGTTGTGGTAGAAATATTCCTGTTTCGGTCTTAGAGGGATAAATGTGATGTCGTCACTTGCGAGCCAATCAGGTGTGAAGGCCTGAGGTGGGGGGCGGGGTGTCATATGCATACAAATTATTACGGATACCCATTACCGGTTGGGTTAACTTCACTAATTGGCTGTTTAGGGTGGTGGCGGGTTTAATGACACATGTATATTTATGCGATCTAACCGAAAACCCTCTTGAATTAATATTAAATACACTCGACTATCCTTTCACGAATTGTGCAATGTGGTCCTTGACTTCCAACGATGGCCCATGTTTATTGGTGTTTTCGTACGTCGATGGGAACGTCGCTTGAAACTCTACCGCCAATGCATACACTACCCACATTTTTGACCGTAGCGAAACGCTTTGCGTGCACACTAGCAGTTGCGAGTATTGCGTTTTAGCCAAGCATTGTGATAATAGTGCACCTGGCAGCTCTTTTAACGATTCAAACCCATGTGATCTCATTTCAGCAATTCACACACACCTAACAGATGGCCTGAGTGAGTGATGGAGAGCGCACTTACATATTACACAGCAACGTCTACTTGTTTTGTTTTGGTGACGGTATATTTGTAAAATGCAATGCCATCGCCGGTGATTAGCCAACGCTTGCAGCCATGGTAAGGGCGACGTTTTTTCAGAGTCCGGTTACAGGCTGATAGAGAACATCTCTGCAGCCCTGTGTTGAGTTGAAAGAGCGCGTGCGGACAAACCAGAGGTGGGTGTGGGACTACGGTCGTTAATCCACGTAATAGGTGCCACGCTCACAGCACTTGCCCCAGCAGTCTGTTAAGGCTATACGGAAGAGGATCTTTTGCTATATCCATGTTGTGTTTCCCCCTGAGACCTCGTACACTGGAAACGTGGAGGTGTAGTGATTACCCTCCTGGAGCGAGGTCCTTCAAACGCGGGCAGACATTAAAGCCTGGCCCCTCGCATGTGGCCGTTCCACAAATGAATTTCGCTTGGCAGGACAATTTAACAGGCAGCTGCCGCATGCCCCCCACCCCCCAACCGACTCCCTATTCCCCGCAGCTGGGCAACGCCAGTGGGCCACGAAGTCGGGCAGGAGTGACTGCAATAAAGCAAAAGGCAGAATCGCAGCATTGCCCCCCCTCCACTGTAAAATAAAGTCTTACCTACAAAGTTGGCACCAGAGATAGGGATTTCTGAGCACATCGCTGCAATGGCGATGGCCC